ATTTCCCAATCATAAGCTCAACAAATACTTTTTCTTTGTAAATTACCAAGACTGTGGTATTCACTTATGGAAAATCACTTATGTCAAAGAGACACATCAGCTCCTGTTTGCCTCTTAACCTTTTTGTTACAAATTCCTGCTTTCTGTGTCTAAAAATGTCCATCCTGATCTGGTGTCATTGGGAGAATTTACTGTACTTTCTTCTAATCCATAAAATTTGCTTTTCATGTTTTGGTTATGGTTAGAGTAAAAGACTCTAGTTACTGTTTTTTGTTGGTGGTAATATTTTTTTTCTTCAAGTGAGAGCCGTCTCTGTTACATTTTAGTGATAGTACACTGTAATGTTAAACAGTCTGAATTCTGATGCTACTTTTTTAGGATTGTGTCATCAGAATGATAATTTCACTCTAATGTCTCCTACAGGCTCTTGTTACCATGTCTCCTTGGCTTTGCCCACTTAAAGTTTCCATGGGAAGAATTATTACTTCAGAAAGACAGGCTTCTATGCCAGGCCACCATGGAGACGGTAGACAAGCAAGGAACAGGCTTCTGCTCCTATGGTAATGTAGTTAACAGGTCATTCAACAAGATACTGGGCCAACATTTACTTGTCTGAGGCTGGCAGTTTCAAACTCACACCTCCTCACAGCCAATAACTGCTCAGGTTTCCTTATTCTCATGTCTGTGCCCATTATTCTTAAAATAGGCTGTTGAGTTTTAAAGCACCCCATCAACAGATGGCAGGGGAAAACTGTTTTCCCCATCATCCATCAACTCTGAAAGCTACGCAGAGCATTGTAAGAGGATAAAAATACAAGTCCCCCAGAAATCCAAAGTACAGCCCCTGTTATGGAATGAACTGAGGAGCAGGAATAAACTGTACACAGGCACTACCTGGTTCTATTTTGGTAGTCCTGGGTCATTTGCCTAATTATTAAAAAATGAAGTCCTGAGTTTTAGAGCCATGGGCTAAGCTGAGGGCTAAGCAGAGGTGACTACAGGTCACACAGTTCAAAACAAACATAATGATCTGTACCTGATCCACAGTGACTATAGTTCAGTAGTTGTGAATAAGTGCAGAGATTAAAAAAAAAAAAAAAAAAAAAGGCAGCTAGAACTGAACTGTAGAGAATGACCATTTAGGCCAGAAAAAGAATGTGTGTGTGCATGTATGTGTGTGTTTCTTTTTGGGTCAACTTGACACGGCCAGGATCATCTGGGAAAAAGAAACTTCACTTGAGAAGATGCCATCGTAGGACTGGCTTGTAGGCTGTAGGGCATTTTCTTGATGAAGGATTGATGTGGGAGGGCCTAGGCTGCTGAGTGTGATGGCCTTAAGTGTGTAGTCCTGAACATAAGGACTATGATTGGTCCTTATGATTGGTGTACAGTAATTAAACTGGATAAATAAATGTAAGATGAATATTTAGTAATACCATTATTGTGCAGTATTCTCACTATTTCAAAAGAGAATTCAGACACTTTAAACTTTTCCCCCCAATCATAGCAGAACAGAAAGCCTTTCAACTTTCTTCTCCCAAATCACTAATCAATTGTGCTTTCTATCCTGGAGCCTGCACAGCATGTATGCCACACCACCAGGCTCAGCCTTCCTGTCATCCAGCTGCTCATTTGCACCCAATACAATCATTTCTAAATATAGGAGGCTATGGTTTCAGCAAAACACTTAAGCTTCTTTAAACCTAACAGTTGATCTCTTTCATCTCAGAAAAAAATATCTGGTATCCATCATCACGCACATCAGCCAGCGCTGGTAAAACCCTGACAGAGAAGCAACCCAACAGAAACCCGCTCCAGGGTGACTTGAAACTTAGATGAAGGAAAACTGTCAAACACATCAGTTCCCATAAACACAGTTACACCTCTACAGGCTCTGGATGAAACCCCCAGGCCTCAGTTTACTTTCCCAACACCATCTTCTCTGCCACTACTTTTCTCAGACACTCATACAAAACCGGTGAATTTTCCATGGTAAATCCCATAAGAAATCTAAGACGGAATCAGGACCATATTCTGCTCTTCATCTGACAGGTCACCAAACCGTCTCTAGGCTCACTGACTAAAAAAATACCAACAATCCTTTTCTTCTTTTTGAAAAGGAAGCTGGCTCTGTGACAAGGGTGGAACAAAGAATATGCAGAGGACAAACTTCCCCATCTCACTGCCAAAGCTCTGATGGCAGAGGTCACCACTCTGAGTTCCTACGTGTATAGTGGACTATTCGAATAGTATCTTGTCAGCTTTAGCTATACCTGGGGAAAGCCAGGCAGGCCCACTGATGATTCTGTCTTAAAATGCTTTTGGCCACTGAGTGGAGATGGACACCTGAAGCCTCATCTGTGCGCAAGCACCCAATGTGGGTTTTCTTTTTCCTTGTACTCCACTGTCATGAAAAGAGCCATGACCCCTATTAAAGACAATCCAATCACTCTCGTCCACCACTAAGACACATGACAATCTCCAAGTGAATCTATAATCAGTGCTCAGTCTCAAATGGAAACCACTCCACTGCTCTGTGACTGAGAGAAGACATGAAAAAAATCTGTGTCAAAAAGTACTAAGATTCTGAGGACTTCTGTAAATGTTAACACACAATAGTCCGTCTAACATGTGTAAACTAGGAATGGACAGACTTTTTCATACCCACTATATTTATTAGTAGTATATTTATCTGTACTAGAACTAAAAGCTGTTAGTTCTAGTTCTACTGGTTTGAAAATACCTGTTTTAACTGGTTTCTTTTTGCAGTGTTAACTGAGACCCAGACAAATTAAGAGACTGTCCCAGATCACATTGGTGGGAAAGAAATTTATTAAAAATGTGGAAACCAGGCTGGGAAGCTCCTCTCACTGAGAAATTACTGCAACACACCCAGGGACCTCTCGGCTGTAATGTCCATCTCTACAGTTAATCTGAATAAAACTGCCATTTGTAGAACATGCTGATCCCAAAGGAAGATGAAGTCTTAAGGCTCTTCAATCTGATGGCATTGTCACTGGGCACAAAGTCTTAACATTATAAAACTGTAGGCAACACCCTTGAAAACTACAGTGCTCAACATCCAAAACAAAACCTATAAATTAGCTTATACGTGAATGTAACTCAGCAGGACAGAAACATTTCCTCCAATGAATCTGGAACCACACTGGGTGGTGCCATGGGCACATACAAAAAGGTCTATCTTTCTAGGACCACACTGGAGAAACAAAGAAAGCAGACGAAATGGGAAAACAGGTCAGGGTCCAGGACTCTCCAGGAAAAGGAGACATGGAAGCTGCATGTGTTTGGGATCTGGAGAGATGGATCCTTTTATGGGGAATGCTAGCCAAAGTGTACTGATTTTGACATACATGCCTTACTGCAACCAAATATGCTCAAAAACTAGCTTCTGGGGACTAAATCCGTTTTACATGTTCTTCCAATGGCAGAAAATGTCTCATACATACTTTTCAAGCATTTGTACAGATTACCCAAAATTTAGCTGATTCAGTTCACCAAACTAAAAATCTTTCAAAAAAACCTTTCATTAAGGTACTTTCATATTTAGAGCATCCTTTGTTTTTGGGGTGAATTAGCATCAGACATTATTTCTGTTGATGTGATCAGTAAATTTTCCCTTAAAAATAAAATCCCTTTTCCTGTAAACATGGGTGATTTTTCAGTGCTTTTTCAACACTGTCGAGACCTGTTCTGAGCACATTACATTCTCCGTCTCTGCCTCTTACCATTTTAGTGGTCTTCCCTTGACAGACAGAAAGCATAAGGAAATGCTTACTCTTTTTGAGTTACTGTCCATGGGGCAAGTGAGAGGGACCAACAAGTCTATTTCTATTTTCGTTCCTCAGCCAAGATGCTATTCTTTGCCTGATACCAAGAATACTCTCTCCAGGAATGCCTTGTGAAACAAGAGGAAACTGCCTAAGTTCAGATCAAAGGAGCTCAGCATGGACGCTATCCCTAACGTCAGCTCTGTTCACAAGGTCTGAGTCACTCCCACTCTTATCCAGGGCTTCTCATTAGCTCTGTGTGTGTCTCAGACTTTGACCAGCCAGGTTCTTGGAGAATCATCTCTATAAGAATCTTGACGTATCCTGGACTCTCATAACTTTGGTTGCACAGACCTTGGAGAACAGTAGCCCAGGACAGAAAGCCTGGAGGGCTGCTTTTCTCCTGCTTAAATTTCTGAATACATCTGTGGCAAAGAAGAATGTATTCACTCAACAAATATGAGCCGCTATGGGAATTCAGATTATTCTGCACAGATTAGGGGATAAAGTCCTAGTTTCCCAAAATCAAGATTGAAGTCAATGTTAATGGTACCCCCTATCTCAATGTACACTGGAAACCTGAATAGCAAATTGTCCTATGGCTCAATTACTATGTAAATGTAATGATGGTATCCTTTTTATAATTAAGCAGCTATAACAATTTTAAAGCATCTCATTTAATACTTCAGTGGCTTTATAGGGTTGGTTTGTTGTTGTTGTTACTGTCATAGCTAACAGATGAGAAACTGCCAAATGTCAACCAAGCTGAGGAAGAGGACCAAACTGAGATTTAAGTACCAGTCCGAATTACTCTAAAGCTTGGGGGTTGCATTCCTACAGGTCACCTTTGGCTGGATGATTTCATGAGCAAACTTCAATTTCATAATAACCAATAATTAAGTGATTCTTGTTTTTATAATTTGCTGTTTCCCATTGTAATATTTCTTCTAACATCATGTCATGAACTATTCTTCAAAGAGGTCTGCCTTTCATGTACACTATTACACTTAGGACACATTATGAAGCCCGTAAGGTAGATGTGAGCACTGCCACCTCCTTTGTAGACCTCAAGCTCAAGTTCAGAGAGATGACCCAATTTGTCTAGAGTTAAAGAGCTTGAAAGTGGTGCAACGCCTTGAATCCTTGCCTCTCAAGTACACCGGGTAATTTACACAGTTGTCTCACAATCACCAGGCCCAGAAGATTACTCACGTAGTCAATGGGCTTCAGCGCTCGGACTCTAGCTGATGGGCAGCCACAGGAAATAAGGTCAATGTAGAGGCCTTCTTCCAATACACACTGATGGTAGAAACCATCTTCTTGGTAATACAGGAGCCAGCTATTAAACAAGCAGTAAGACACTCAAATTACACTCAGATCTCAGGGTTGCCCTATCACCAAACTATAGAAACCAGCGCACAGCAGCCATGGTGCTGGGCAGTACTGGTCAATAAACAGTGACTACTCTTGTTTAGTTTCTGCTTATTAAGCCTGGGTATGAGTCATATACATTATTTCTCAATAACTGCTTTAATTGAACATATACATTTATTTCTACAATCAACATGCTACACTAAAGAGTATAAAAGTTAATGACTTTTCTAAGATCCACCAATTAAATAGCAGAGTTGAAATCTGAAACAAGAAGACATCTGCTTTACACTAATGACATTTGTAAATTTAGTGTCTTCAAGTAAAAACCCTGGGGTTAAATTATAGTGATGATTAATCAAAGTAAGTAAGTTAATTTAGGAACCAGTTTTATTTTAAAGTGTATCTGTCACTTTTGTATCACACAGCTTAGAGAATTTCTTTTTTAAGTGATTCCTTCATGTTGAGTTACATTCAATACACCACAAACCAAATACCTGGTTAAGGATGCTCTTTAAAAAAAGAGGAGCCCAAGTGAGAAATTAATTGGTTATTCGTAATTTAGTTTGGGTGTGTTTAAGTTTTAGCCCTATAATTTAAGAATGTCAGGACTGTCTGTAATTTACCTAGACCAAGTTAATTCTGAATTACCGTAAGAATGAATGCTGAGTGGCACTATAATTTACTGTCATTTTTCCCTATGTAATAAACAGTTCATTGTTGACATGTATCAAAGGTTTTAAATGTATTAGACAAGACTCACAGTCCTTTGCATTATTTTATTTATAATTGCTTAAGAATCCTGTGACATATGGCTCAGCAGTAGAGCACTTGCCTAACTTAAGTAAGACCCTAGGTTCAATTCCTTGCACCAAAAGAAGAAAACAACCTTTTAAGGAGGGTGCTATCATTATTCCTCCATTGTCCCCGAGGAGCCTGAGCACTGGGGATGACCCGATCTACCTACTTACATAGCTGGAAAGGAGTGGAACTGCGCTCATAGCCAAGTCTCCTAAAAACTCAGTGTTCAAACAATCTCTGTGGTTCTAAAATTCTTTCCACTTAACTTACTGTGTTTTACCCTTATACATACTGTATATCAAGGCATATTTGACTAAATTGTCCGAGGTCTCAGTAGCAGGAGAAAACAAAGATTTTCCTGTAGGAAAACCTAAAAGCTTCTTTTGACTTGATAAATGACAATTCATCTTTCAGAACATTTTCTTTTTCACCTTAGTGGAGCTGAAACTCAAAGCCAGAATATGGTACTTAAACTATTTCAGACCCTTGCCACATCTCTCTCTCTCTCTCTCTTACAACTGAGTGGCAGATAATCTTTCTGAACTCACAAGACTTTATGTTTTAATGCTGCAGAATTCTCAAGCCCTTTGCAAGTAAATATAAAAATAGTAACAAATGTAGAAAAGATCCTATTAGAAGAGTGATAAGGAAACACAGAAGGAAAACACTGGTTTTCTGAATGGGGAAGGGTTGAGGTCCAGGAAGTAATGTTTGTGCTGGAAAATCTATCTGGATGAGCAGTAAACAAGTCTTAAAATTTTGCAGCTTAATGGAGAGCAAGTAGGTAATGAAAGTACATGAGTACCGTATGAACAGCAACTGGGAGAGGCAGTGGCTTTGGAATAGTGGGGAGCAAATAATGCCAATCCTTTCAATGCTAACAATTTTTTTCAATGGTGAAAGGTTTCTCGAACTCATTTAGGGAGACAGTGGGAAGAATGTGCTGCTGAAATAATATATTTTAGATCTGAATATCAGTATGAGAGAGTTTTGTTTTTCAAGACAGCGCTTCTCCATGTAGCCCGGGCTTGTCCTGGAACTCACTCTGTAAGCCAGGCTGGCCTCGAACTCACAGAGACCCACCTGCCTCTCTCTGCCTCCCAAGTGCTGTGATTAAAGGCATGCACCACCACCGCCAGGCAGTATGAAAGTTTTTAATATATCCTATAAAATGAATAAATGTCATGTCATCTGCTGGCTTTATTTACCAAAGACCCACAATGTTTGCAAGGGTTGGCAAACCAGACAGTGTACCAAACAGTCCTATCATTTATTTTCAAACATCCCACAAGCTGAAGTTTTTTATGTTTTAAATCCTTTTTAAAGTTAAGAGAAAGCTACTTCATGATACATATACAATGCAAATCTCTATGTAGCTTAAAGTTTCACCACAAGTCAGCTGTACCTAGCCATTGAATTAAACACAATAGCCATTCACTTTCATGCCACCATGGCAGAGAAAGGCACCATGAGCCCAGCCCATAGACATGATGGGGTTTACCAATATGGCCCTGGCACAGAGGTCAAAGCATAACACAAATGGCTAAGTGAATGTTGGTGGAAGAGGAGGGGGCAAGGAAAAGTGTAGAGAATGGGTAAGGAAAATGCGAGCAGCTAATGGTATACAGTCTGGAAAAGGAGGAAGTAAACTTGATCTGCCTGAAGAAGGGCTAGGAATACAGGCAGATAAGGAAAAATATTAAAGTGAGATGTGTGTCAGATAATTATGCTCTGCCGCTCTGCCTGGCTTGGGTAAGCGGGACGCTACTCCTCTGGTGAAAACATGATCTTGACATCCACTAGCTCAAAGAAGAAAAGGAAAATGAGGAGCATGAGGGATTCTGAAGGGGAATTGTGAAATTCAGATTTGCTATCAGGTAGACACTGGAGATATGGGGAATGCAACAGAACTGCAGACTTAACAATGCTAATATAGTAAATATTATGTCATGTAGATTTTGTTTTTTTAAGCAAATAAATGACAAAAAAAAAAAAAAAATCTGAGGTGTGATGTGAAGGTTCCAGAACCCTAACTCCAAATTTAGCTTCCTTATATGTGAAATAGATATAGAAATATTTTTTATGCATTTTATAATACCCTTTATTACTTCATTGGTCACTTACCTATTCATTAAAATACAGAAATATTTTAAACAATAATAATATATCTTGTCTTGCCTGGATATAAATAACAGCTATTTTGTGGCAGTTTGTTGTACAGTAAATGTACAAAATAAACATTAAAAAAACTTTAGAAACTCATCTAAGAAAATACTGGACCAGGTGCTGTGGCTCACTCCTGTAATCCTAACACTTGGAGGAGGCAGAGACAGAGGCAGGCAGATCTCTGTGAGTTCGAGGCCAGCCTCGTCTACAAAGCTTGTCCAAGGACAGCCAAGGCTACACAGAGAAACACTGTCTCAAAAAAACAAAACAAAAACCACTGAGAAATAAAACTATTAAAGGTCCCCCATAATCAGCATTTTTTAATATTCTAAATAAGCAAAATTATAAATCCAGCAAGATTTACATAGACTCGTTAGCAAATGATCAATGCTTTAAAGGGGGGAGGGATTTACTGTATATTCAATAAAACCAAAATAATGCTGAATTCCCAAAATTCAAAAACAAAAACAAAATCTGGTTATTAGGTAAGAGCAGAGGACCCAAGGAACACACTCACCAGCCACGGAGAACCTTAAAGGATGAAGGCACAAACGAGGTCAGATCGGCACATTCTTTTATGAAATCTATACACTCGCCTTGGAAGCCTGCTTTACTGAACGCTTTAAGCTGTGAGAACATAATAGTAATTGACTGTGAACTGGCTGTTTAACATCATCACAAGCAAGTAAACTTTAAGGCATTCATAAAAGTTAAGCAGGACATTGGATGCATGTTTTATTTAGTATCAGTAAAGTTATATGAAGAATGGTGACATTCTCTTTAGAGTGCCTTTAGTTCTCCTTACGTGAGAATGAAATTTCGATATTTGTCATTTTCATCATCGTTTGTATCAAACTGTGTGGGATTAGCTACAGATTTAGGGTAGAGAGGCATCTAAACTAGATTATGGATTCACTTTTCTGATAAGTATATCTCAAATGTACAGTCTATAGTTGAATATCACACTATATTTCTACTTGAATTTTTGTCAAGTTAAAACAAATAATGAAATCTCAAATAAAATTCTCTTTTGCAGCTCTAGAGGCATTGGATCAAAAATCAGAAAGAATAAATTAATTGGCCCTGTATATAAATATTTCGTGATCCTGTGGAGACTCTTAACTGCCCTGGCCCAAGGGATATGCTGCACTGACAGGCTCACAGGTAGCAAGGAACGCCCTGTAATAAATGACTGGCATCCAGCCCTCCTGCACACGCAGCCATCAGAAACAAGACTCCTTCATCAGTGGACACTTGCCTCTTTCATCTCCCTCTAATGGGATCTGTTTCTTGGCAGTCCCATTCTGCCCCAACTTTGTTTGGTCTGATATCAAAGATGAGCAAAAAGGCAGGAGGTGAGAGCACCAATGCTCTCCTGACCAACTGTGGCTTTCACAGTGTGACTTCCTGTTGTGAAACCACACTGTACTTAGAGCACCAAGCACCAAGGAACTCCCAGTTTTAAGAAGAAGATCCACCACATTTCAACCAGGGTCCCTCTTGGGTAGACAGGGATCAAGAAAAGAAGTCCCAAACAAGATGTATGCCTCACATTGTAAAGTCACAAAACACGAGGCAAAAACACGAGACTTCTGAAAATGTAGAGAAATTTTCCACAGCTTGTGAACACTACCAAAAGTCACAGAACGACTGGAAAAACTACTTGAAAATGGATCTCAGAGCTGTCTTATTCACTACATGTGTTTCTGGTTTGTAGAGTATTTTTCATGTATTGATAGGTTTAATATTTGTTTTTCATTCAGGCTAAAGACATTACTATAGATATGGAACTTGCTCAACATACATGAGTTCAATCTCAGCCTCCCAAAACACACACACACAGACAAACACTTCCACATTTCACCATGAGATCAGGATATGTCAAGTTCCAGATACCAATAATGCAGGTATATTACAGTTATCAGACAACTCGTTAGAAGCCCCTTCCAGTGTTTCGTCTAGCTTTATAAACAGAGGAATTTAAATTCATACACAATATTTTTGTGCAAACATTTACAAACTGGGTTCAACATATGTTTGAGTTTATTTTTCTTTTACCTCTAAAGTAAGAAAGTGTATGGTGAAGTCAACAATAGACCAAACCTACAAAATAACAAGCTCAGCCTGGCCACCCCATCCATCAGTGCACAAGCAGAGAACAACTCCCACATTATGTTCTGAGAATGGTCCAGACTGGACCATCCATGTAAAGCATCCTCAGGGTATCAGAAGCCAACTCCAGGTGTAGCAGCACCTAGAGTTAGGTAAACAGTTAGGTTGTAGTTTCCTAATAAAATTCCTATAAAATTAAATGATGGTGTTTTTGAAAAATTAAGGTTGGAGAAAACCCAGTCATGCAAGTCATTATGTTATTTTTCCTTAGACTTTAATGGACAATATAGGTATAAAACAGATTAATGGGTTGCTTAGAAACTAAGTACACAGAAGAACAAGGTGTGAGTTATCTTCAAACTACATGCGTCACCATGGAGTCTATGGGAATGTGTCTATTCCTAACAGTCTCCTCCATGGAAGTGTACATAGGCACGAAAATGGAGAGAGGAAAGAAGGGAAGGAGACAAGAAAAAAAGGAAGAAGGGAAGGAGAGACAGGAGAAAAAAATTCTGCCCCCTGATGATAAGGTTATCTCTTCACATACACTGCTACATTTTTTCCTTAAAACTATGCCCATGTGGCAGAAATTATGAACACTTTATGACTAAGATTTTGCAGAAATACATTTTACTATATAGTTTTTATTCATGACCCACATTAAGAAAACGTAATAGAATTTAACTTGACAAACTAAAAATCTAGTAAGTTAATTACTGACCAAACACAGATGGCCTGCTCAATTTATTTCACAGGATCAGCAGGGACATTCAAAGTAATTTCATTTACTTTAGCACTAAAATAATTTGTATGAGAAGTTCTAATATTTCCCCCAACCATGTGGACCAGCCTCACTGATACACAAAGATTATTAAACAAACAAAAACCTCTTTGTTTCTACTCTTCAATTACACTCTACACAAATCATTTCAATTAAATATACTAAAAACATCTTATCTTTCTGATCACCCATGCAAAATTTTCTTTGTTTAAATAGTTCTTCCTGGGTGTGTCTGGCCTTGGATTGTATAAAAATCTCCCTATATCACTGGTTCTCAACCTTTCCTTGTGCTGCAACCCTTTAATACAGTTCCTCCTGTTGTGGTGACACCTAACAGCAATATATTATCTTTGCTACTGTTATGAATTGTAATGTAAATATCTAATATGCAGGATATCTGACATGTGACCCCCCCAAAAAAAGGGGTCACGACCCACAGAGTGAGAACCATTGCCCTGTAAATAAGAGACGGCATAAACTATTATAAACCCTTCAGTTACTTCAAAGCTCAATGAGGCTAAGTTATGCAACAGAAGAAAGTCCCTTGTCTCTTTTTCACAGATACAATTATGTATGGAGTACGTTCAGTATTTCAAGAATTTTAAACAGTTATGTTCATTAGTAGGCTCAAGAAAGTTCTCAGGAATCTGAGGTAGTTGTTTAGGTCAAAGAGTGGAGTACATTAGAATTGATACAGAATAACCTCCCCTGGAAATAAATTATATTTTGTAATATCTAATCTAATAATATTTATGACATTCAATAACCCGATAAGTCAGAGAAATAATGACAAGAATCCATAGTCTGTTTAGTGTTTGTCTTGTTTGGGGAAAAACAAAACCACCACAATTGTATGTTTGTCAGTCTCATGATATATAGTACTCTCTATACATTCTATAGATTTTTTCCCCCCTCAAGTGGCTTCAAGTTTCCCTTAAGACAATTAACATAAAATAAAACAAAACAAAATTCCCTGTCTGACTTGAACCTGGAAATGTAACCGCCTCCTTACTCATGAAAAATACTTTATGTGAACACACCCAAGACTTGCTTTTGTTTATGTAAACATAGATATGAAAATAGCCTGACACAGAGTGAGTGAGTGAGTGAGTGAGTGTGTGTGTGTGTGTGTGTGTGTGTGTGTGGGTGGTCTGACGATGTGTAAACAGAGAGGCTTTGTACACATATCACCCATCATTGGTTACCACAGCTTAAAAAAAAAAAAAAAAAAAAAAAAGCACAGCTGATTTCACTGGGCATTTTCTGCTGCTTCCTTTCTTCAAGTTGACCTGGAAGCACTATAAAGAAAGTCCAACAATCCTGCCCCAAACACTGAAGTTCATTTAAAAAACTAAACAGTAAGGAGATGGGAGGGGAAAAAAAAAAAACTTAAAAGAATGGGATGGTTTATCTGCACTTGAGAAATCCAGAAAAAAAAAAAAAATTGAAGTTATTCCTATTAACTTCATTATCTACACATGCTATTTTGACTCATGCAAAAAACATATGCTTAAAAAAAAAACAAAGCAAAAGAAAAAAGGGAAGGGGACACACGTGCTTTAAAAATCCACAGCTGGAGGCTTCCAAAAAATCCAAAATAATGTTTCTGGCAGGAAGTGTCTCTAAATACAACTATTCAATTATTTTCAAGAAGGAACTGTTCCCAAACGGCCTCAGCTAAGTAGAAAATAAAAACCTCAAAGCATTTCCAGTGAGTGGGAACATGATTAAACTGAACCGAAGTGTAAAGACAATGACAGGAACAAGGAAAATGTACATACTCAGAAAGGACTTCCACTATGTTAAGGCAGTGAATATCACTAATCATCACTACACATGGCCTTCAGACAGGGATTTTTCTAACTAGGTTATTTGAAAAGAAACAAAGAAAGCAGTGTTCTCCCCCTCTTTCTTGTCTACGGTGTTTCTTCTGTCCCTATCTAGGTCCTTCTTTCATTTTCATGAAAAGAGAAACTACAGGATATCCACTTTCCTTCCTCCAGCTGTGTGATAATGACACTGACAAATTCAGAATCTCAGGTTTTATGTTCATACATGAGGTTAATACTCACAGAATGATAAGTACTAACCACACACAATTACTAGCCCTTACCAGATATTAAACCAACACTAGGCTTACCTAATAATCCCTTTTTAAAACACAATGCAGCCACTTTTGATGAGAACTGATAGACTAAGATCAGAAAGAAGGAGAGGAGGACCTCCCCTATCAGTGGACTTGGGGAGTGACATGCATGCAGAAAGGGGAGGGAGGGTGGGATCGGCAGGGGAGGAGGGAGGGGCTTATGGGGGGATACAAAATGAATAAAGTGTAATTAATAAAAAAAATAAAAGATTTAAAAAAGAAAGAAATAAGAATAAAATGTTATGATAGTTTGAAGAAAAGTAAAAAAAAAACAGAGAGAGAACACATGCGGGATGGAGAGAGGGAGGAAGGGAGAGAAAAGGAGGGGGGAGTTTAAGGTTATTAGAGCTTTAAAAAAAAATGATACAAATATCAGAAGTCTGTGTACAGGGCAGTGAGAAGGCCCAGTGGGTAGGGGTGCTTGTTGCCAATCCTGATGGCCTGAGTCTGAACACCAGGGTCTACACGGTAGAAGGAGCGATTCTCCCACAAGTTGTCGTCAGACCTCCACACATATGCAACCATGGCAGGAGAGCACAACCCTCCCCAGAAAGTAAATCAAGTTAATGTAGTGAACATGTTTTCTAAGCCTGTGTTCACAATAAGCACATCAAGCAGCAGGTGCAGCAAGCCCTCTGCTCCTCTGCGGAAAGTGTGACATGCGGTGTGAGTGAGACAACCACAGGGACAGAACAGGAAAGACAGAGACACGCAGGCTCCAAGCGCCCACTGAGGTCAGAGCCAGAGCTCCTTCAGGCGTAAAGGAAGGATGCTGTGACAAATCCCAGGCAATCCAGTTAACAACAAGACAGCGTCTCTGCTCGCAGGCACCCACTGCAAGAGGAACATGCTGTGTCGCAAAGACATAAAAGTTATCTCAGGGAAAGAGAGAGATTTGAGAAAGTGTAAATGCTTTTGGCAAACACTCCAACAATGATAAGCTAAGAATATTTTGAAACATACCAAATGTGGAGGCTCATTTATCCCAAGTGGCTCCTGAAAGACATTAAAATATTTTAGAGATTGCATCGTATCATCTTAGCTGACTTTCAGGATATTTTGAAAATACCGTTCAAAAAACAGTCTCACCAATTTCCTAATAAATCCCTTCACCTGCCTATGACCCCTTCTATCCCACATAACTAACAGAATTTTCTTGGAATGGTTTTAGGATTCAGGACTAGTTTATTTGGAGTACCACTGTAGCTAGGAGAAAATAGCTCCCCCTGGGTGCATTCTAGAAAGGGCCTCAGTTTCTGATACTAAGGCCCAAGGAACTAGGCAGCTCTGTGGTGTGTCTTCCAGTTTACTACATGGTCACAGTGTTCCATACTTCGTGACTGCACACAACGACGGGCTGTTCCTTCTGCTTGGAGAACCCCATAAGGCATCACAGGGATCCTTTCCTTCGGCAAGGTCTTAACCCCCAGAGACAGAGCGTCCTTTCCCTGGCTCTTCGGGTACCACCACACACCCCATCCTCTTACTAACCACACTATGATTAACTGCCCACAAATCTCTCTCCCTTGAGAGATCAAGAGCTATCGGGGCAGTCATATTCATCTCCTATCTCCAGTGACAAGTCAGACGCACTGAGCGATGCTGAATAAATGAACTGGTCCTACCATAGAGATGTCTTGGGTGTTTACTCCTATCTACTAGCCCCCTCTGTCACCAGCAGAAATACATGTGATATTTTATTTATTATATACAGATACACAAAAGAGAAGCTAAATCTAATCACTTAAAAACAATGGTGTGCACCACCGGTTCTCAACCTGTGAGTCGAGACCCCCTTTTCACAGGGGTTGCCTAGGAACACTGGAAAACACAGATATGAACATTATGATTTGTAACAGTAGAAAAAATCGCAGTCTATAATTGCAACAGAAATAATTTTACGGTTGGGGGTCACCGCAACCTGAGGATCTGTATCAAAGAGTTGCTGCGCTGGGAAGGCTGAGAACCAGCGCTCTATCCAGCCAACTGTACCATCTGCATGCCTCCGGCAGCAGTCCGCCCCACACTTCACTTACCAGCTGGATTGGTCGGATTGACAAGACTGTATTACTTGATCCTCCCCAATCAAAAAAGCATTTGTATTTTCCTTTCTCTAAAATGTACTGATCTCCACAGAAGAACTTCTGGTTGTAGGCCACCCATCTAGTGGGAAGATAAGAGGAGAGTGTAGAATTGAGCAGCTAACAGCTTTAAGCCCCACCGACTCCCCTGGACCCTCCCGGCAGGGGCTACGCACGCGCCACTCTTCACGTGAATGGATCTGGTTTCACTGCCAAAGCCGATTTCTTCCAAGTCAGAAATTTCCTGATTTGTAATGTCAATAAATTTCCCACTTTCTAGGTCAGATTCAAACAGTGTGATGGAAGATTCTATGAAATTCTAAAAAGAAAGAAGAGGTCTGTTTAAAAAAAGCATACACAACACAAATTCCACATATGGTCAGACACAAGTAACTCCAGGAAGAATTTTCAATGGCATGAAATACAATGTTATAATCTTTATTCCTATATAGTTTAGAGAAGAACATTAAGCCGGGATTTGCTCTAATCTTTAAAAAAAAAAAGACACATGTCAAATAAATGGAAATTAGTCAACAGTTTTAGGTAAAGTGCTAGGATTAGATATATCACATGTAGCACTAAGGACAGAAAATGCTCAGACTCTCACTTGAACAAAAGCTGCACAAGGCAAAGTCAGAATATAAAATATTGTGGGCAACAGGAGGCAGTTTTAAGAGATTTTTTAAGAGTATCTTAAAATTTCTTAAGATTAAAGAGATAAATACTTTTAAGAGATTTATATAGATACTATATAAATAATTTCTTTATGAACATTTCTTTCTGAATATGTGTAATATTTGTTGATTAAGGTCCTGTCCTTTCATTTCTATTAATGATGAATAGCTCAGGGTAGATGAATACACATATTTGGACTCAAATTCACTGTCAGCTCCTTAGTAGCCATGTGACCTCCATTCCATTTCCCACGGTGAGGTGTGGAGGACTCCTGCATAAAACAGTGCTGCTGCTGCCCCACACCTCATCTGGGGTTTATTACTTATTTAATTATTTATTGTCTAAAATGTTTTCCACAAAGTAATTTCTAATCCATAACTGAATTTTCAATTCTATCTCCAGAGGAACCCTTTGTAATCCAGAAGAATTACCTCTTTCATGGCTTTCACATGCTGCATTGAAAAAAAGCAAGCAAACAACAACAAAATACAACCCAAAACTTTCCAGCTTCCATTTTTTTTTTTTTTTCAGGTTCATACTGAATCAGCCACCATCTCAGCTCTTTTTAAAACTTCATTCCTAAAACACATTCCTTGTTTCTTCTAATCTCTGATTTAACAAACCACACACACAAACACACACACACACACACACACACACACACACACACACACACACACAGTCCTTGAGCCATACGAGGAATGAGATTTCAGGAGCCTACAATCACCTTTCTAGTCCCTAGATAAGCTTCCTGAAGAGGGTGTGAGGTTATCAAGTGATTTATTTACAAGTGATTTATCAACAAAGTTCTGCTGACAGTATGAACCTTCCTCCTCCAGAGGAGCCCAGACACACCTCGCCTCTTTCCCTCCATGCTGAAAGTGCAGGCACCAGCTTTCAGCACAGGATCCAATCATGACTGGACAGGGCTCAGCCTGGTACTTGTCAGGAACCAGTGTCAACAGTGACCAACAAAACCAGATCTACCGGTAATGGTAAAGCTTTGGGGGCAGCCCTCCATTAGTGACCTCTCTATTTCTCAAGACCAAAACTCCCTGTCTTCATCCCCCGTTCCTCTGACTCTGCTGAGTATCTGTTATTTACTCTTTTGCTGGGATCCTAGGACTGGAAAGCACAGTGAGTTAAGATGTGCCATGGACCACAGCGTTTTAGTGGAGAAGGACGTAGAAAAATGACTGACACTTGCACGTGTGTTGTGTATCTGCCCTTTCAGAAATACTTGTGTTAGAGGGATGTATTGACTTGAGCAATGACTTACACATGTCATACTGTAGTAGTAGGGGAGCTACTGCAGCGAGAAGAGCCAGGAGAGGAATGGCCTGGAACTTCAGGACACACCTGACAGTGAGCTTAGGGGAGGAGGGGCCTCCTGCTACAGGATTCACTACAGAAAGCAAGTGCTGAGAGAGCATGCAAGATCACAGAAATATACTCACACACCCCGAGTTCTCTACATTGTCTCCCAACCCCAGAGTCTAGTGGGGGTCTGCAGGGATAGCCCTGGTGGTGTAGCTCCCCAGTTTCGGATTTCTGCTTTATTTTACAGCTTTTATTGCCTTATAGCTTTTATTTTCCATCTTTTTCCCATGTACCCCTCTCCCTCTGAACCAATACCCTGGCTTGATTATATTCTGCATTTTCCTTTCAAATCTGCCAAACACATAATATCAGACCCAGCTGATTAGCAGGCCTTGGAGTACCATCTCTGACAGCCAGAGCTGGAGTTGAAAGCCAACCTTTGTGCCCAGTCATGTGCCAGTGCTGGTTCCAACCTCCTGAGAGTAAACCTCTACGTGTCACATGTACAAAACCTAGAATTACATATGGAAAAGCCCAGGCTGAGGGTGTAGGCCATGGGCAGTGTGATTGTACAGCACGAATGAGGCCTTGGGTTAGCCTTCTCAGCACCAGAAGAAACAAAACAAACAACAACCCCGAAGACAGTGAAACAAAACATCTCAATGCCTTACTCTAGAGGTGAGTGGAGCAGACACCCGCGGCCATGTATAGGGTCGGCCTATGAGTTCTAGGTAATTACATCCCTGACTTTTCTCTACACACTTAAGTCACTGAATATTCCACAGGCAAAGGTAGGTTTTTTTTTTTTTAGCTCAAGGAGGATCAATGACGGTGAAATGTCTTTAAAGGCCATATTCTATTTTATATTTTAAAGCAAATTGACTTATTTACTACAGTCTCAAGTGAAAGAAAACTGTGAGAGAAAACTGAGAGCTACTTTATGCCCAGAGTCGAACCACAGGGCTCAGCAATTTGCTGACTTTCAAACCCTCTTGGCTGGTCCAGCTGGTGAGCTCTTATACTACGCCCATGTGTGGGCGCTGTGATCCAGGTGCCAGCAAAGTCCTGCTGAATCCATTAACTTAAAGGAAACAGTGGTCTACACCACCACCTGGGTCCAGAGATCTGAGGAGAGACCCCAGGTCTGGCAAAGATCAAAATCATACAGCAGAAGTCAGTCTAGACAGTAAGCGAGTATAAAACTGAAGGAAAACATGCATGGTGAACAAATTTTATTGAGGAAGAGGAAGAATAAAACTTTCTTGACCCTGAAGTCTGAACTCCACTGCATTCCTTTCAGTGTTCCACTTTCTTCAAAAGCAATCAGCAGCACGTGACTATCTGAGTGACTCATCTGGAACTGGGAATACATTTTTCCCTGTCTTGTTCAAATCATTAAATGGCACAGTTCCCATTCTCCCCAAGGAACATATCCGCTATTTGACCTTAGTAAATCCGGAGTGTTCCATGTGCTGCAGCCAGGATATCTGACCTGACACTACAAGACACAGCTTTCCTGCCTATTCCCATCTTGATTTCACAGGGCGTTAACAGAGACTGTGAATGCCATTCTTCCCCTCTCCAAGGCTGCAGACATTCCAGACTATGGGATAAAGGCATGCCATACCAGCTTTCACCTTAACTCAGCAAGGCTGTCAGGGTCACAGTCACTCCTTCCCATTTACATGCCTGGCTGAAGAATACACACATTTTCAAAATGTAACTTGAATAACATGTCTTTGAAGAGTTTTGACAATATAGACATACATTTTATGTCTAAAGCCGTATATTGCTTTTAGTATAACTCACCTGAATTGCACGTTAAGAGATAAACTTCCAGAACAGTGTCTGAAAGTTGTATAAACATGTTACACACGTGTACTGGCCGGTCATGTGACCCTACATGGAGGCTGCCAGTGAAATAACATGCCTAATAAGCCTTTATTCGAATGAAATCCAGTTTTCCGCTGCGAAGATACCCTTCAAGGCCATACATTTGGAACTATGCAAATAGTAATACGACATGTGTTCTATAAAAGACTTGCTTGCCTTCAGCCATCCTAGTCCCTAACATGTTCAGCAGTGCAAGTCTCTAGTAAAACCATAAACTAATACTTGACAAATACTAAGATTCTCATAAGGATTGGAATGTCATCCTAAAATCTAACTTAAAGACTCAGCACAGAAAAGGCTTTATTGAAGAGCACTTTTGCTTATTTATTATAAAAACTCATAATTTTCATACATGCTCTAAGCTTTTGTATACAGCAGAAATGAATGTGTTTGTCACTTTTCCTACTGTATATTTCTATAAACTCTTGTCTATGTAGAATATCTCTTGATTTAGTAATGTTTGCTTTAACGTCTCTCTTTGCATTTCCAGCTCTTGGGAGGTTCCACCTAGTGACTTGGGTTTTTTAGTTTTGTTTTGTTTTGTGTTTTTTTGGTGGTGGTGGTTTTGTTTTTTGTTTTGTTGTTGTTGTCCTAGTCATAGTTGTTGTTCAGAGGTGCCAACACATCCTTTCTAAATATTTCTAGCATCACTAAAGCTACCACCCGATTCTCTTTTTTAAGTAGGTTAAGAAATTTTTTAGTAAATATCACTGACTAGAATTATGGCCCTAGAGTCCTTAGTGCATGTGACTATAGTGGTCTTAAAAGGAAAGCTGCTGCCGTGGTTGCCGCCGCCTGCTCGTGTGTGTGTGTGTGTGTGTGTGTGTGTGTGTGTGTGTGTGTGTGTGCCGTATTATATATGTGGAGATTAGAGGACAACCTAAGGGAATCAATTTCCTCCTACCATATGCATCCTGGGAATTGAACTTGGGTCATCAGGCTTGGAATCAAGTGCTTTTTACCCAAGGAGCTATCTCATGGCCTATCCTGTTATACTTTATTGTTGGGGAAGACATTCACAACTCAGGGCTGTAGCAGGATTTCCTGGCTTCTACCCACTAGATGTCAGCAGACCCACATCCCCCGAAACAGCAATCCAAAATATCTCCAGATCCTGCCACATGGATAAGATTACCTCCAGATGAAACTCCCTTCACTCATTAGCATGGGCCAATCTCTTGCTATAAAACCACGCCTTCGATTTCCTTTCATGACGCACCTCCTGTCTGTCCTGAAAACTTTTCATGTGGGTAACCTTGAGCTGAGCCATCATCTTTCCTATGCAGTCCAGGTAGGAAGAACGGACAACTGTCCATTTTCTCGATGCCCTACCAGACTGCCTGCTCTGGATGTTTTGATGGGCATCTCACAATACATCTAATAAAGGAGGTGCTCAAAAACTGACTATGGAATCAGTGGATGAAAAGTAAAAAGTAATCTGGGTGCTATGGCACACACCTTCAATCGCAGCACCCAGGAGCCAGAGGCAGTAGGATCTCTAAGAATTCTAGGCTAGCCTGGTCTCCAAAGTAGGTTCCAGACCAGCCAAGGCTACACAGAGAAATTCTGTCTCAAAAAAGTTAAAATAAAAAAGTAAAAAATAGATACTCTGTAATAATCACCCTTGGCAAGAAAAATAGGTAATTCCCATTCAGTTGGACGCTCTCAGGCTACAATCTCAGGCTCTATCAGAAATCATGTCCAATGTTCATGAAAAGATAAAGCAGGTTCGAATTAATGTTTTGAAGGCACACTCACAGCTTGTAGGTACCGGAAAGACATGATGGGGACACTCAATGCCCCACAAGTACTGCTATCTTCAAAGTCTCCTTCTTCAAGTAGGAATTGCTGGCCTTTGAAATGTTCCTTGTCATAGGCAACCCACCTGAAAATACAGGGTACTCAATTGAGCCACTGAGAAAACTAGGTCAGAGAAAAGTATGATAATAAAGGATGAAGTTATTCATCTAGTATTCTAACAATGGCCTTGTTTCTATGCACTAAGGACAAATGCTATGTATCTCGTGGATCAATAGCTTTTATAGTTTAGAAGCTTTTCCCAACAAAAGGTTAATTGTTGAATTGCAACAGAGCAAGCTCATTAAGTGTTTGTGGCATGACTCGTATTATACCTCACCATGGTCAGAGAGTAATTTGCCAAGTAGAAATAATAGAAAGTACACACAGCCAATGAGAAAAGTTTCAAACTCATATCGCGATGTAAGGAAATCATTTTCAGTATACTGATTAAGCCCTTTTTGGAACCAAGGAGAGACTCCCTTCTTAATCACTTACTCAAGGCTTAAACCCAGGGAACCCTTCACGCAGCTTCAGATAAAAATAAACATGGAGAGGATTTTCCCAAGGAGAAACACGAGAAGGCTCCTAAGCCGCAATGCTCTATGTCGACTAAAACGTCTGTAAATACTTATGGGTGGGAAACCTTCATCCTCGCATCTCCTCAGACCTCATGTTGGAAACAGGAGGCATTTCTGCAGAGTCCTTTCCAGCGATACAGGTTTCCTCTGCTCTTCTAGTCTAACAGCATCGGGAGACACTGACAAGCATGGCTGGCTCTCAGGCTCCTCTGTGAACTTCTGTGAATCTAACCTCTTTATGCAATGTGGGCATCAATGACTCACAAAATGTGCTGCCAATAAAAAGTATCCTTTACCTGCACCATGCTGTAAGAGTGGGACCTTCCAAATGGATAGATTATAAGGATGACTATTCTTATCCTCCACAGCCAAGGACCTTCTGATTCAGAAATGTGAGAAAGCTGAAGCCCACGATGGGGGTGTGTGTGTGTGTGTTTGTGTGTGTATACAGCACAAAGCTGTATACTTTCAGCCATCCTTCATCACTCTTTGCCTTCCGTTTCTAGGTGCATGCAATGCTGGGGAGTGGAATTCCAAAGTAAGCGGTACGAGCCTAGAAACACACTGGTAAGTTTTAGCGAGTTTGAAATACAGAGAGTAGTAACATGATTTCATTCTTAAACTGTAATATGAAAATAAATTTCACAGAAAGTTTAACACAGTCTAAGCCTTCTTTCATATTAAAGAAGTTATTTGAAGCTTGTTTTGACCTATGTTTGACTGAGAAAAAGAATGAACAATACAAAAGCCTTACAGTACAATAAGGGAATTATAAATCATTGGTCTTGCCGCTCTTAGACCCTCACGATGGAAAGGGATGAAGAAGGGCCTATCATATCCATATATCGTCACTACCAGATAAAAAGCTAAGAAATGGTAGAAATGACAAGCTAACTCAATTATTTTCTAAGTGGGAACATTGTGTTTTCCTTCTTGACTGTCATATAAAACTGTGTGTATTCTCTATCACACAATCATCTTTTGATTTTTTTAAAAAGGCTATTTTAGAAATTTAACAATATCCATCACACTAAATTTTAACAGATATTTTCCCCCCCTAAGGCAGAAAACTAGATTTAAATCCATCTAGTTAACAGGAGAAACAATTTAGTTCTCAGGGTGAGAAAAAGACCAAAACCTTCGATAGCATAGTTTTAACAATATGCATGTGCGATCACAAACCAAGAAACACAACAAATAAGCACAACAGAATAAAAACGTGTCTGCCCAAACTGCGTCTGTCCTTTAAATACAAAGAGCACTTTTAATTCAGGGGTGGTGGTTAACCGATTACCAGACCAAGAGGCAGCATGATCTACACTTCTATAGTGACTCTCATTTGGCTGCTGTGGAAGCCAATAGCTTGCATCACAAGCTGCAAATACAGGAGTGTAGGTGACTGTAGACAGGTTCATACCTATGAGCATTTTAAAAGCATCCTTTGCTACAGGGGCATAATCAAGTTATACGATTGCTGTCGCATCGACACTTGACATTAAAGGGAACCATGTCCAAAATAACCCATGTGTGAAGGGAGACATGAGAATGCTTCTGTGTGCAGCTCAGCACTGGCCTTTCAACAGCAAAGCAGCTTTGAGCAAAGTTTCTCACCAAGACTAGACTGGCTACAACTTTTCTAGGGTTTTTGCTGCAGTAATGCTGACTGAGGCTAGGGTTGCAGCAACAACCCCGTGTTTATATCTAGTGGGTTTTGGAGGGTTTCCACAAGGGAAACAGGGCTGTCTCTGACATGAACTCTGGCTCTTTGATCACCTCTCCCTGAGTGCGGGGAGCAGCCTTGCCAGGCCACAGAGGAGGACTTTGCAGCCAGTCCTGATGAGACCTGATAAACTAGGGTCAGATGAAAAGGGAGGAGGACCTCCCCTATCAGTGGACTGGGGGAGGGGCATAAGGGGATGGAGGGTGGGATTGGGAGGAAATGAAGGAGGGGCCTATAGCCGGGGTACAAAATAAATTATAATTAATAAAAATAAATTAATTTTTAAAAAAAGTGGTTCCAGGACAGAGGACCATAAGTGTCAGCACCTTTGACTTTGGGATTGCAGGGCTCACTCTATCCCTTTGATAAGGTAGTGCATTACCAAGGCCCTTACAACGTAAGTTATCCAGCAGGACAGCAGATTTAAAAAATAAAACCTAGGATTTCACGCATGTTCATAATCTATAAAAAAACAGAAATTTACCTTGCAACTGTTGTATTTTAGAAAAGCTAGTTATTGAATTTTTACATTAAATACACAATACAGTTCCTATTTCAAAATCTTTAAAACCAGTAAGCAGGCCGTCACTATTAAGTGGTACATTTTACTTCCTACAATACAGAAGGGAAGTGGGCTGTAAGGTCAAGGTTGGCGACTTTATCTTATTTAGCACATTTTTTAAGCTAATCTTCAGAAGTAGAGGTATAAATCACAGACTGAAAATATGACACTCACACTCCACCGATGACACGAATTGATCCAATGCCACGGAAGTCCTTATCACTTTTTAAAAACTTAGGGACAGAATCTATATGTTCACTGAACTCTTTGGTATGTCCACAGAAGTAAGGTTTTTCATAAATGATAACCTGAAAAACATGACACTGTTATTTAATGTGCTAATGTTGCAGCATGGATACATTCTGAATTACATAAGTGGCACTTAGAACATAAACACGGAGCAACATCTGCTTTTTACATTAATTTTGGGATATGAAACAGCATTGGATACTCACAAGGAACATATGAGCCAGCAGAGTTCTTAGGCTCTAGCACCGATTCTCAGGCTTCTCTCACATTAAGGTACCTGGCTAGGATTATATTTTCCTGCTTGTCCAAATGTTAGGACCACTACGTAGGCTAAACTCTTTTATAGGCGATACTTGAATTTTCTTTTATCCCTCTTGTGTTGTGAACTCAACACAAATCTCCCACGTAACCTATGAGGTTCAAAAACATGCGGAGTTTCTAGTACATAAAGCTGAATTACCTACTGAGTTCACAACCAAATACTCCTCTTAACACTGGCTGCTTTTTATACTTGTTGATATTTGCTGTAGAGGAAGAGAGGTGTGCCGTTTTAAATGTAAATGCAATAGTTTCTGAGACAGAAATGAATGGAAGCTCAAGTGCTTTGATAATTGCACATTTTGCTCACATCTGGAGGTGTATTATAAATGGGGCAGGAAGCAGAGGGACAGCAGGAGAGAACTGTTACCACACACAGCTCTGTTTTTACTTCTGAAGGAACCTCTGCCCTAAATACTTGGCTGTGATAACAGTATTAACCTGGCCACACTTCATCCTTCGTCCTGCCTGTGGCTAACAGAATAATCTATATACAATTAAAACCCAAGCTATTGGTGGATAAATCCCTAGGCTTAAATACATAAAATTAAACAAAACTTAAAACTCATTTCTTAAAATATGTTAATCTTGATAATTCTATAGCCTAGATTTTCTTAGGAAACTATAATACACACACACACACAAGCAAAGTTAAAGCATATAAATATTATATATACAATGAAGTTTTATTTGGGCTTAGTAATTGTTGCATGTGTTGATATTCAAGCTAAGTAAAAAGCAGCATTTCTTTATGAATAAGCTCTATGACATCAGCAATGTTAATTAATTTCTAATTGGCAAGTTGTGATTACTTATGAAATCAATCTGCTCATATATGCCTACAACCTGTCAGACTGCAAACGCCCCAGGACGTCTCAGCCTCTCACACATGAGGATGTGATTCACCACAACTTGGAAGCACAACTTGGAAGTCACAAGGAGAGTGTCATAGGTAATTCTGTGTTTATTACTTGGATCAGCAGCTTGAAACATCTGCTGCAATTTTAATCACCTGGGAAACTTAGAAACGTTTTTACCTCACTCAAAATCAAAACAGTATACTGAGAATGGGAACTAAGCTGAAATATTTGTAATATTTAGATGATTCCAGCATGCAGTCAAGGCGTAAAAGACACATTTGGGCATGTGAGTTTTAAAAGATTCATCCCTGTGATGGAGAAGATTGCAGTCAGTTCTATAAACTGCGATGTGGAGGCCCTGAAGAGCTCCCTCCACACTCTCCTCTGGCAGGAGAGGCTACTTCTTACCTCTGATGGCTGTCTGCATCTCTAACTACCGAGGTGGCTTCTCCCATCTCTCCTTACACACATTTTGTAGTTCTAGTTCCTCCTTCTGCCACGTGCTTGACCCTGTCACTTCTGCCACCCAGTTTTCACTGCCTCTACCCCAGACTCCCTTCACAGGCACTCACACTTACAAACTGACACCGATCCAACAGGACCTCGCTGTAGCTCATCAGCATTGGCCCCTTTCCAAGCACCATCCTCAGATCCCTGCTGCATTCACTTGGAGTCACTTGAGCACCAACTTCAAAACCAATACCTCCATCACCAAATAGAAATCAAATGTATCACCCTCCCTACATAGTGGGCACTGGGTGGCTTTGTGGGAAAACAAAGCCCTTCCATCTCTGTACACTGTCTTCACTTCCCATTCACAGCCTCAGCATGGGCCCTCAGAAAATATTTGTCACCTCCAACTACTGCAGCCTCTGCTTGTTAGGTAGCATACAGTCACCTAACTATATAATATCAAAATACTTAAAAGACTAGTGCTGAATCTTCTGAGCCAGCTCAAGACTTACCTTTAAGTTCATAGGCATTTCTACTTTCAGTCCACCCTAAAGATAACAAGGTATATAAAGATAATGTAAATACATAAAAAGTAGGAAAATAACAAAGGTATATGTAAGTTACAAAAAAGCGCAACAGTTAAGACATATAAATTATGCAGCAGTCAAAATTAATTATGGTAAATTTAGGACCCTACAATAGTCAAAATCAACTCAGATTGATCTACATCAATATAGATGGGGCAAGAAATTTTAAGAAGCTTTCAGCAGTTAAAGCCCTAACAGCAGCTGTAGAGTATCCCAAACAGAAGAGTGGAACAGCTAACAGCTTCAGAAGTCACGCTTGGCAGAGTGGACTCCTAAGCCCATATCCAAATGCATCTCCTAAAACCACTTAGGTTTTCTAAATAAGGGCACTGCACCATCTCATACTTCTACCTCCCAGTTCCGCCAGCAAAGCTGATCATACCTAATGTCCTGTAGCACGAAGATTGTACACTATATATAGTAACATCGCTCTCACAAAGCCCTCACTTCGTAATGTTAGTGTTTAAAATGCTATTGCACATTGTGATGTTTCTTAGAATTTCTGCATTTGTCTCTGTTTCTATTTTCCAAGGCACAGAACCAAGTGTTTTTTTTTTTTTTTCACATAGCCTGCATTTATATGATCAGTTTGCTCCTCAAAAAATAAATAAGTTTTCCACAGAGATGCTGTAGGCACTTATTTAATCTTTAAGAAGGTAAACACTGAAAGAGCAACCAATTTATTATTAATGCTGAGTTTATTCTTCATTATCAAACTGGAAGAGACAATCTACTACAACTAATTTTCTAATGGGCATCAACAAGACAGACTGTGGAGATGATTAAATATTTAAAATTTCATAGAATACTTATTAAAAACTGCATGTATTGTGATAAACCTGCCACAGTTCAAAGTAAATGCAAACATTCTGCATAATCTAAACAGAAAATACAATATACAGTTTGGCAATTCAGTAGAGCATGCATTCCTGAGACTGAGGGCTATCAGCAATGAGCACAGCTGTTTGATCTGCTAGGAAAGAGGAAAGCCTTTGGTTGAATCTGCTTACCATCTGAAGAGGATGCAGTGATTTCATTTCTGTTACAGAAATCTCAAAGAGGCCCTGGTCTTCCTCCAAAATTGTAGCTTGCCCCTTAAAATTAATGTCTGGGTAGGCCAGCCAACTAAACAAAATACAGATGGTTGGTTAGAGTATGACAACAATAGTTTAGCTTGGCACTCTAAGAGGGAAAAGGGCTATCAAGAAATTCCATGATAGAATTACACTAACAAAGTGTATCAAGGAGATCAGACAGTCTATAAGGGGGAACACTAATACGTTCTAAGTATTTGCATTCATATACTCTCCACTTTTTAACCTGTTTGAGTGTTGTGTATCAATTTCTGCCCTAGAATTTTCTAAGACCTAAGACATGCGGCACTTTTAACGTTGGGAAGACTGTAACTTAAAACTCTTTGCTTGCCAGCTAGTACCCCAGGACTGATCACTCATCAACTAGGTGAGGGTGACACTCTGCCTTTGCCTTTCAGAACAGAGAAGTAAAACACAGAGCGGGGATACGTGACTGGTACTAAGAAGAGAGCAACAGTTAACATGAGCTAGAAATTGTTTAAGGTCCAATTGTTTAGGTGAGAGACATGTTTTTATTTCTCAATCTCAAAATGTGTCAGATAAAAAGACAATGCAATCCATCTATCAGGAAGGCTGGGGACTCTGTGCCTGCTCCTAGAGGCCATACATCAAAGCCTTAATTGGATCCAAAGAAAGACAGACTGTTGTAGACCACGGAGTAGTCTTTCCTGGGTATCTAGAAGCATAAACAAAATTAACTAACTAAAACTTCAGAATCTGTGTGTCACCTACAGAAACATAGAGCAAAGAGTTAACTTCGGGGGCCATTGATCATTATAATAAAGAAAGTCTGACACATACACTCCTGATCGCACAGTGAAGGATGTAGACTTGGGGACGTTGAGTTCTTCCAGATTGGGGACAGACCGGTGTATGTAGATCGGGTAGCACCCAGGGTCAGGCGGTGTGCACAGCTCTATCTCTGGAATGCTGCAATCCTGAAGAAGAAAAATTGCGTTTGAAATCATCTAGAGACACACAGGCGAGGGCTGTAAACACCCTGGACTCAGGGTTACAATGACTTCATTGTGTAGTGGGACCTCTCGGTGAAAACAACACAAGGGAGGGAGGAAGTGGTTAGCCTGAAGCATGGCTTTTTAACTCAGTCTTTCTCAGGAGTCATACACATAATGCAACAATCATACACATGTTGCTAGAAAAGCTATTGTCTCTTTTTTAATGTGTTTTTTTTTTTCTGCTTCATTTTTAAAAACACTTGTCCCGCTAAGAATGGCTCACTGTCTAAAGGGTTTGAGTGCCAAAGGTCTGCAAGTCTTCCTTCTCAGAAGCATAACAAAGCCTAAAGGGAGGAAGGGACTTAAAAAAAAAAATCAAACTGATCCCTTGGGGGACATAAAAAATAAATAATGGAGAGGCACTGCCCCTCCAGTGTGTTTATCTAATTTACATCAACGAAGGAGAAGGAACTAGAGGTGAGGGGAAAGGAAATGTGTTTTCCTACTTGTGGGACTCTTATTTTTTTAGCACAAGTTGGCTTGATGATAAAGTTATTATGAAATTTTACACTACCCTGGCCTTTAAAAATGAGACACTCACTGTCAGCATGCCCTGTCCGACCAACCTTCCTTTAAAATTACATTTGCCCTACCTCTTTTTAATCTATTTCCATTGCTGGTGCAAACTGCAATAATTACCTTAACTCACAATTAGGAGACAGGCAGAAGCAACTTTAAACACCTCAACTTTTTAAGAACTACTTACCCTGAGACACTCCCAGGATCAATACACATCAGATTGCTTTTTGGTTTCGCTTTTCTATAGTATCAAGATCCACACTCACTTCCCAGGGGTCTGCAGTCACACCCCAGCCTCTCTGCTTATCTCCATCCCAACACTGGCCTCTCAAAGTTTTATACATGGTACTCATGATGCATCTACATAGATAACCCTCTTTAATTAAGGGACATAGCTTATAATATCTAATATTCTCTTGAATGATGGTTAATATTGTTCTTTCTTTTAATTAATGATGCCTTTTTCTTTTTTAATAATTTATTTATGTATATTGGTGTTTTGCCTGCATATATATTGGTATGAGGGTGTCAGTTCCCCTGGAACAGGAGTTACAGACAGTTGTGAGCTGCAATGTGCATGCTAGGAATTGAACCTGGGTCCTCTGGAAGAGCAGCCTGTACTCTTTAACCATTGAGCCATCTCTCCAGCCCAATACTGTCCTTTCTTAAGGGATTAGAATCACAATGACTTCTCCCTTTTCCAAAATCACAGACACCATTCTGTTCAAACACACAACCCTAGGTACTCAAGAGTGCTTCATCATACAATTCAACTTTCAGTAACATAGTTCTCACCTCGAGCGCCTGAAATTCAGATGAAGGCATCTTAATAAAGTGAGTACGTGCACTAATCATCAGAGATACCACTAACTACAGACTTGACTACTTCCTTTTTTTTTAAAGAGTTTTTGCCATTTTAAATTATTTAAACTCTCCATATGTTGAATTCTCAATCATTCTCATTAATAAATACAGTAAGATGTTAACTAGAATATATTATTCTAGGGAATTAAGTACCCAACAGATTATATTAGTTAAATTGTGTTATTGCAATTGTCTTCCCCAAATGATACAAATTAGGTAAAGAAATGGATTCTCACTACAGACTATTAGAGTACTAACAGAGTACATTCATTACATACAATTATGACATATAAATTGCAACGCTTTGTCTCAAAGCATACTTCTAAAAACAATTAATGTACCTCCTTTTCAGAAATAAGTTCTAAATTTCAGTGAGCTGAAGCATCATAATTTAAATGGCCTTCAATATTAAAAAAAAAAAAAGTCTACTTCCTTCTGAAGTTTCACTTCACAATTAGCCAGAAATGCCCAGAACTGTCACCTGTCAGTCTTCAGTGGTCCTCTGTGTAGGGCTGACAATGGAGGGCTGCTAATGCTACTTCAAATGCTGCTGTATTAATGTTCCCCTGGGGAGCTGGGGTACAGTGGTGGAATACATAACTAACTGCTTCACACAAACAAGTTTCCTCTGTATTGTGTTACACAAACAATGTGTGGGTGGTGTACTTCAAAAGGGAAAAAGCTAAGAACCATTCGTGTCTACAGTAACACAGAAGGAAGTGGCAAAGCAGCCAAAGCATAGTGATGGCTCAAGAAAAAAAAAAAAAAAAAGAAAACAAAAGTGAGAAGCCTTTCATCCTCAGATACTACAGGCCCAATTTTCACTCAAGTTGACTGAAAGAAGATTTCACTAAGCAGTCTTTCGGGACAGTAGTCACAAAAATAGCATCTTTTCAAGGCTTGTATAATTGCTGACAGGCAAAGGCAGCCAAATTCTAACAACTGGAGGGTCCTTTATGGTAACCTAGCAACAATAAACAGCTGACTCCAAAGTGTGCAGACTTCATCCCACACTCCTCTACTCAATGCCACATTTTGCAAAGGTACCCTGGTGAAAACTCAATGATTAGTATGGAGAAGTCAAGGTTATAGGGGAGAAACAGTAAGAATGAACTGTACTTAACAAAAAAACTGTACTTAATAACCCTTTTTCCCCCTCCATCTTACACAAGATGCCTTTAATCTAACAAAGATCCGTCTTCATGGTTCACTAATAACAGCACTAACCTAGATGATTTCTGGTTATAACAAAAAGATCATACCTTTAAAACGAATGTACAATGCCCAGTGAACAAGGCCATTTACAACACTGGCTCTGATTTCAGGAAAGACTGCCAAGACACACTGCACTGTCGTCCCCACCCCTAATCATTTTCACTGGCTGCAAATATGAGCCTTAAACAGAATCTACAAAAGCAGAACACTGAAGGACCTGCTGCATCTGTTCGTAATCAAGGGAAGACATCATTAAATCAGAGCCTTAACTTCAGAGGAGAGCAACTGAAAACAAGATGATAAAACAAGATCACTCTGGACTAGGCAACTCCAAGTGGGACAAGAGCCTCCATGAGAAAGAAGCCATCCATAGGCAGAATTCTGACACAGCTGAAGAAGGAAGTTCCGTGCCTGATTCTCACTTTCTAAAATATTTATGCACTTTATGTTAGAAGCTTTGCTTTTCCTCCCACAGTAAAATTGTCAGTCTGTTGAAGATGTGTGATCAATCACACTATAACTGAAAAACAATGACTCAATGAACAAACAATGGAAGAAAAAATAATGCGAGCAGGACTCTTATTTTTCTCATAATACATTCTAAGCAAAAGGCAGATGTGCAAATCTGCCTTTAAATTTCTATGCTTGGCAGATTAAATTTGGTTGTACTCTTGTTTGATCTAGTGGAGTTGTAGGAATGGCTGGTTGCCAACTCTTGCTAACTTTTTCCCCAGTAGAGTTGGCATGGTGCCTGGCAGTCACAAGAAAGGGGCAAAACCACAAGCTAAGCAAATCCCAAAAGATTCCACCTACAAATTAATGATTAACTTGAAGAAATTTCTCTTAAGTTAGATAATGGAATGACCACTTAGATGGGCTTTGCAGACATGGTCACAGTTCCAAAAATGAAAGAAGACACTGTCCTCTCTGCCATGGAAATCTTTTTGCAATGCCACAGACCCAAAGATGCTCACCCCTTGTTTGACTAAAGAGACTCTGCCAAGACTCACTTGTCTACCATGCCATCTAATTTTTGTTGATCTTTTTAACACTCTAATTCAGACGCCACTTATTCTGGTGAGGTGCCTATTTCCTGAATGTCTCGGGCACCTCTGGCTTTCAAGCTACCTGAAATAAGACCAAAAGCTGAAAGAGTACTATTCCCACTGCCCATTACCATCATCAGGACTATAAGCAGTCACAAATACTTGTTAGATACGAATTTGTTTGTAGTTCTGACTTGGATACAATACATGTAAGCCTATCCTTATCATAACTTGAATATTTCTGTGTACTACCTTTATTTTTTCTCTATAACTACCAAGGGTTTAATTATATTGATCAAATCATGAGTAATTTCTCCACAACTGATTACTTGTATAATTTTTTTTCAGAACTTCATACTTGAGTGATTGCCTATGCAATACTTCTATCCTGTCCTCCCAAACTCCAAAATTCATGGGCTCACTTCTAAATTACTGAATTATTGTGTTTTTTTCTCTCACACACACACATACACACATACTCTCTCTATATCTATAGTCATTACATATCTACCTTAGAAACTGCACTATATCATGTCTTAGAATTTTCCTGAAGCAAATCTTGAGGACATAGAGAGGAGAGCCTGTTCTAATCTGAGGTCTGTCCTCATCAGTAAATCCACTCCTCCTTTAATCCATCACAGGGGCTCTCATAAAATGTCTCCGTGTTGGAAGACCTTTTTCATCTTCAATAATACTTTCTAACAGGAAATTAAACAGCAACGCTTTCACTCTCTCTCCCAATTCCTCCTTCTCTAATATCCCACAGCACATTCACATATATACACAACCTCCCCCAATAAACACACATGCAACACAATCATACTAAGTAGCAGCATTTAAGTTAGAAAAAAGACAAGATCTGAAACTACTACCTTTTTCTTAAAGATTCCTATAGTGAATATACCTAGCATTATATCTATGTCAGATACACAGACACATATATCATTTTACATTATTAAATTTTATAAGTTTAAGTATTTAATTTTCAGTTATTTGCTTAAACAACTGATATGTATAAATTTAAATATGAAGATTAAAACATTAGCACAAACATTAGCAACTACTTTTTAGCACTGTTAGGCCACAGCACAACTTTAGTACTTGACAAAAACAAAAAGAGTAGAAAATGAACAGCTGCATTACCTTTAAGACACGCTTGATAGAGCCCAGTACAAAGTTTCTTTCTGGGTGCCTCCTGTTCTGAAGAAGCCAGTCCCGATTTAACACTTTTTCCCCTTCTTCCAACACACATTTCTGACCTTGGAAATAGGGCTTCTCATATAAAATCCAGCTAAGCAAACAGAAGCACAAGGATCTGGTAAATCTACTTCTTCGAGAAAGAGTACTGAGTAGGGGACAGATCACTTTATGCATTTTATGTATAGCTTACCTTTTTCTATTAGCACATAATGTTACTTTTGAAATAATAATACAGACTAACTTAAGTTTTAAAATATCTGTACAAATTAGAAATGAAAATACTGAAAATGGGAGGCGGGGGGCTGGAGATGTGGCTCAGCAGTTAAGAGCACGTGTGGCTCTTGCCCAGGACATGGCCTCGGTTCCCCCACATGCTATGTCACAGCCAACCGTAACTCCAGGTTCAGGAAATGTAACACCCTCCTCTCACTTCCTCGGTCACCAGGCACGCATGTGGCATACATGTAGGCAAAACGCTCACGACATAAAATGAAAAATAGTGAATATATTTTAAAATACTAAATATCCTATATACCATGCGTCCATCTATGTAGATGAGGGCAGAACACTCACACACATAAAATAAAACACATTAAATAAATTTTAAAATGCTAAACACCGTATCCCAATAGAAGCCTGGATATGTATGTGTGCACACACACACTTTACGTCACATACACAAAGCCGTTTATATGAAAATAATTTAAGGTCTCCGACTTATGTTTCCATGTTAATCTTTCTATCACTGGATACTACAATCATGGATTCATTTTCCTTTGTGAAGACAACTCTTCACCGCACTGTTTACAGTGCATGTACCGCCCACAGCTGACCGGAACACTGGACCCGGGAACTCTGGCTCCAGTAGGTCCACGGAGCAGTGTTCATAATAGCAAAGGAGGTTTTCCCTCATTTTTAGACCATACTAGGAGTTCCTCAGTTCTTGAGCGTGTCAGCTATACAAATGACTCCTTGCTATACAAATGGGGCCTTCACATTCCATAGCTTCCCACAACTCTGAACTTAGTTTTCAAAGCCACGTTTCATTCAACTTGACTTGCAAATCTATCTTGATAACACTGCAATTGCAAAATGACACTAATATCATTTCAAATATCCTAGTAAAGTGAGGAAAGAGAGTATGACTTTAATAAAAAAAAGTACAAAAGAGCATAGAAGTAAGAAGACATGGTTAATTCTAAATAATAGGTTGTAACATTTCAAGAGGGTCCTTACCAGCCCCTTACAACTTTTATCAGTGCCCCATTCGGGAAAGACCATGTTGTAGCATCAGGAATGTTACAGTAGACCTCTTGTTTATATTTACTTCCATGGAGATCATAGATAATCATCTGCAACATACAGGAAGTAGGTGTAATAAGGACTAATTTTAAGAATCCAAAAAAAAGTTCAAAATGCCACAGAACATAGACAGTAAAATTTCCTGCCTGAAAAAAGCAAACGTTTGAAGCAATTACTGCAGATGTTAAATCCTTAAGTTTAAAAATTTAAAAAAAAGCCTATGTAAGTTAGTTGAAAATATTTGTCTTTAATTTCGCAAGCCTAAAAGTAGCCAAATTTTTCAGTATTTCCATTAGCCCATATGAGAATATTATGCTTACCTTCCCAGGCCTTGGATTACACCTCAGATTTTGTTTGTCAATATTCTGAAATAATAAAAGTGGAAGAACTAAGACATAGCTGGGCAGAAACTATACATTTATTACAGAGTTCACATTCTTCACTCATAAACTCATTTGTCACACACTTATTTGATAACGATGCCATACATACACACTTCTACAGACTAGAAAAACAAGCTGTAAATATAGAAGAAAGTAACAGAATGTCCATGCATTCAAGAAGCGCACAGCTCAGAAAAGCAAATAGACAATCACACTCCAATAACAATTTTTAATGTTTGTCTGTGGGTCTCAGAATCTGGGTTGATCTGCTGCTAGGTGGAGCCTCTCAGAGGACAGCTGTACTAAGCTCCTGCCTGTAAGCATAGCACAGTTAATAGTGCCAGGGGCTGGCTCTCTCCCGTGGAGTGGGTCTCGAGCTGGGCCAGGCATTGTTTGCACATTCCCTCAATCTCTGCTCTATTATTATCCCTGTACATCTTGTAGGCAATGTAAATTAGATGCTGAGATGTACAGCCAAACATTAGGGAGGGAGAGCTTGTGTGGAAGAGTGGGGGGAAGGACAGAAGGGCCTGGAGGGGACAAGAACTCCACAAAAAGACCAACAGAATCAACTAACCTGGGCCCAGTGGGGCTCACAGAGATAGAACCACCAACCAAGGACTATGCATGGACAGGACTTAGGACCCCTACGCATATGTAGCCGGTGGGTAGCTTAGTCTTCATGTGGGTCCCCTAGCCAGGGGAGCAGGGGCTGTCTCTGACATGGACTCTCTTGCCTGCTTTTAGATAACTTCCCTCTGGCAGGGCTGCCTTACCAGGCCACAGGAGAAGAGGATGTGCTCTGTCATGATGCGATTTGATGTGCTGAAAAGGGCTGGTAGAGGGGGAGGCTCTCCTCTTCTGAGAGGTAGGGGAGTGGGCATAGGCAGAAGAGGAAGGGAGGGTGTGACCAGGAGGAAATATGGGAGGGGGCTACGATAGGGATGTAGGTGAATGAATGAATACCAAAATAATTTAGGCTTTAAAACATAGACATGGCACCAGCACAGAGGGGAGGCTATGGAACAGAGGAGATCAGAAAGGGCTTCTTGGATAGTGACATTAAAAGAATTTAAAAGAACAGGATTTTAAAGAGTGAAAAACTGAAACAGGTTGGAGCAAATAACAGTAGACGAACTATTCCAAGAAGAAAGACACCTTGATATTTCCTTGGGCTAGAAGCAGGGAAAACAGTACGGAGCTGTGAGCACAAACAGAAAATAGAGAGTTCAGATTTTCCAGCGCTGAATTGTGTCTGCTGAACGTGATAAGCAGTGGGGACGAAAAGACCAACACTTCATCTAATACCATCGATTATTTTAAAATCACCTTGACTTTCCGGAATAACTGCTTAGTATTCAACTATTACCGTGTTACTAAGGCTGTTCAAGGTTAAGATACAGGCCTTTGAAGATCCTCTAGAAAGTTCCATAATATTGGCAGTGCCAATAGAGAAAGCTCCGGGCTAAAAGAATATCCCATTTTTGACATGTACGTATTTCTAAGTCAAGGAAAAATATTAAGTTGAAAGTGTTTTTTTTCAGCTAGGCTGTGACTTTTTGTTTTTCATACTAGGCTGCTCAGTACTCTGCTTTGTGTGAAGCACCTCCCAGAAGAGGGCATGGATAATGGGCAAAAAGGTAAAAATGTTACCAAACAAAATTTCATGAGATAAATAGGCTAAATGGGAAGTAGCAACTTCATCATACAGGGAAACTTGAGAGATTTAGCAAATTAAAGCGTTATTTAAAGTGAAAATACTAGCCAAAAACTGTAAAATTGCTGGTTTTTCCAATAGGGCTTTTACATTCTGACTAAGCAATTTTGTTTTCTTGTTAAGAACAGATAACTAAAGCATATATTATATTTCAAAGAACAATCCTCAAGTTTTAAAAACTAAGTTTACACCTCAAAGTAGTAAGTGTATATGTGTATGGTGTGTGTACTGAACCTGGGCTAGGAAACGTGAATGCTCAGTGACCACTGATCTACACAGAGTCCCTTCCGTTCATTTTCTTTTGACCCAGGGTCCCACTAAGTTGCCAGGCTAACCTAGAACTTATAATTCTGTCTTAGCCTCCCAAGACACAGGTGTTTTTAATAAGCCTGCAGGTAGCCCCATGGACTAGCGCTCTGCTTCACTAATGAGCACGGTAACTTACCTCAATGTACGCACTCAATCTGCCTGGGTGGTCTTGAACTCGAAAATATTTGGACACTGGTTCCTGAAAGGCACTACCAAATCTGGTTCCCGTTTCTGAGGAATGAGTTCGGGAAGTCTGCAAGTACTGATTATAGGCACTCTTTAAGGAAGAATGCAACTTAGAAGTCAGATCCGATTTTTGCAGAAACGACGCCTTTTCTGACCAAGGGCCCAGCTGCAGATTGGAGGTCCTTGGTTCACTGGACTCCATGTAGGACCTGGAAAATCCAGCACTCTCCCGTTCATCTTCGGGGTAAAAGGTGATGGAAGGATCTGGCAAGTAGAAGGTGACACGTTCCTTCCTTTCAGCTCTGAAGCCTTTACCCGAAGTTGCTGCTGCTGCTTCCTCCTCTTCCTCCTCAGCCACCTCTCTGTCGTCTCCATCAAAGTTTCTCTGCAAGCGCTCTGACACTGACTGGAGGAGGGATAAGACTGACGAGGGCTGGTTTGCGCTCTCCCTGGATTTTGTGGAGCCGTGGTGACCAGGGGAGACCTCGCTGGATAAACCATCCTCCTGTGAGCTGTCGTCCTCGTAAATGGGGCTCAGGGCTAAGGGATAAATTTTGTACCTTTTGGCTTCCACTGATAAGAGCATGTCTGAATTGTCTCCATCAAATGCCTCACCCTGTTTGCCTTCCTTTTCAAAACGATGGACCAGATCAGTTCTGCTCTCAGACCTTTCACATGCCAGGCCAGGCAGGCTGTTGGAGGAGGTGTCAGAAAACAAGCCAGAGCGTGTTCCCTGTAGTTCTGTGGGAGTGTACTTGTCCTCCTCTAAAAGGGGCTCATCGTACAATATAGTAAAGGAAGCATTCTCTTGTTCATCCTGAGAAACAAAGGCTACATTCGGCTCTTCCTTCTCATCTCGATAGTCCAGATCTTCCCTCTTGTCATATACTGCAGTAACAGACACTATTTTGTTGAGCCTTACCACTGCGTCCTCCTCTTGAAAATCTGGCATCGTTAAGGCTGGGTAGCCCTCATAATCCTTACTTAACGTAGGTGATTCATAGCCCCTGAAATGTGAAGCAAGTCTGTCATCGTGAGTTATCAGTCCTTCCTTTACTTCAGTGGGCTGCTCTTCTGCTTCTCCAGCACTCTTCTCCATGTACTCACTTTCAAAGACAGGATGCATAACCTCCACTTTTGTAATGATCACCTCTGGTCTTGTTCCATTTGTTCTCTCAATGGCTACCTCTGGAAGTGATAATTTGGGGTTCTCGATGCTGCCACCAGAATCTTCTGAAGCTGTTACTTCCATCTCTATCTTAGAAGGCACCAACTCATTTTCACTTGACTCTCTGATACTTCTTTGGACTCTTTTTTCCAAAATGTCCAAGGAAGAATGTACTGTGTTTTGGTGTGTTTCTTTCACGTCTAACACAAATGGGACCCTCTCAGCTTTTCTAAGGACATCTTCAGCATCCCCTTGGGGAGGCACAGGTCTCTCCATCTTTCCAGTAAGCCAGTCATTATCTTTCTGATACGTATTCAGCACTTCTAACCTAACAGGCACCCCTTTTGCTGTGTCAATTTCTCCTCCAGAGTCCTCTGAGTAAATCTCTTCCATTTCTAATTCAACAGGTACCACACCTCTCCCATCAGTCTTTGCAGCATCACTTTGCTCATCCTTTTGGTAAGTGTCTTCCATTCCTAATATAACAGCTGTCACTTCAGCCTTTGAAGTAATGCCCTCACAATCTTTTTCGTAGGTATTTTCTACTTCTGACAGAACAGATGCGACCCCAGTCTTCCCAACATCCCCTTCCGCATGCTTTTGGTAAATATTTTCCATCTCAATCGAAACAGGTGTCACCTCAGTCTTTACAACATCACCCTCAGCGTCTTTTTGATGGGTAGTTTTCATTTCTGACATAACAGGCATCACCTCAGGTTTGCTAACATCCCCTTTGCTATCCATCTTATAAGCTTTTTCCATTCCCAAAGTGACAGGTAATTCCTCAGGTTTTTCAACATGTATCTGAGCATCCATTTGGTATACACCTCCCCTTGTAAAAATGTCAGCCTCTGGCTCAGCTTTCGTAATGTTTAATTCATCACCCTTTTTACATGTTTTCTCTTTATATGACATTAGAGGTGCTGCTTCATGTTTCCTAATGTTCATCTCAGCATCCCTCTTACCTGTTTTTCCCATTTCTAACAATGAAGGTATAATTGTGATTTTCCCTGCATTTACTTCATTATCTTTTCGGTGTGCTTTCCCCAAATCTAACATTGCAAGAGGTGTGCTTTTACTATATCCTGGCAAACTTTTTTCAGATTTGCATACAAGGCTATCAGACAAACTGCTTTTGGAGGTGCTAGGCACATGAGTATCATCACTTGCAAAAGGAGGCAGGTTGAAATTTAATACAAGAATTCTAGTGTCCTCTGTTGCCATTTTGTGATTATCCACACACTCTGCTGCCTTTTTACAGTCCTCACTGACAAATAAATGTGGCTTCACTCTGTCATCTAACTTTGTGTGGGACATGTCTTCAGCTTGTAAAACAGTCTCTGATTTTTGCAAATTTACAGTGTCAGACTGTCCAGCTTCACTTCCAAAACCTGGGAACTGCTGATAGGGAATAATTTCTCTTCCTTTCATTGACTCAGTGCCACTAACTAAGTCGCTTATGGAGGAGGATTTACTTAATACTTTATATTCACTAATTTCACATGTGCTTTGATTCCCTGCCTGCTCCGATACCAAGAACTCCCTAACTATAGGTGGTTTAACATCACCACATTTATAAACTTTTGAAGTGTTAGCCTGAGGTTCAGAAGCCCAGGTATTTTCAATCTCATCAAAAGCATCATTTATCAAATTTTCTCGGGCTGCATAAATAACCTCATTGACTAATTCACTGCTCTGTTCTTCTAAGATACAAGATAAATTCACTCTATCAAAATCAAAAAGGAGACTTGTCTCACTAACTGTGGGCGAAACACTGGCCTTTTCTTCCTCTTTGACTTCTGACATATTGTCCATGCCTTTCTCGTCCGAACTCTCTTTCAATTGGATCCCTGTTAATGTCACTTCTGATGGGATGGCTTCTTTCACAGTACCTGGATTCATTACATCATCTTTGGCGAGATGCTCCTGGCAGGTACCAACGGTGCGTTTGGATTTCAGTTCTTCCCTGACAGAACTTAAAATCTCCTCAGTCAGTGTATCAGCTTTTGTGAGTAAACCACTTCTGAGTAAAAGTGGGTCACGTGCTCCTTTCCTGGCTTCTGTCTGCTCAGCAGATGCCTCAGAACACTGCTGGCATGAGCGGTTAACTGACACTGGTGCCTCAGCAACTGTTCCTGTCTCTGCCTTCATGGGACCGTCAAAGTAGGCAGTGGTTGGGGAATCGAGACATGCCTTCCTGGTATGAGGCCCCAAACATCCCTGAATTGGGGTCACTTCTGCCCCTTTTGGGTTAGGTGTCTTTAATTCCAAATAAGAGCTATTATGGCCCAGTGTGTCAGTAACAGAAGCACCTTCACATGTGATATTTACAGTAACACTTAAAGCCTCAAAATGACTTGGGAGGTCAGGTGAATTTGTAGCTGTGCCATCTCCCTTAGAGCGACAACAGGAGGAAGATGCAGCACTCGTGCCAGCACTCAGGAAATACAAGTTTTCTCTACAGGCTTCTTCCCCTTCTGATCCCAGTAGAGAAGGCACAGCCAGTGAACTGCAGTCCTCCGGTGCAAACACATTTTTCTCCAAATGGGCATCAGAACCCAGAAAAGATGAATATACTTGTGTATTGTCAGTTTCTTGGAATTTTGGAGAAATATCATCTAAACCTAGTTCTTCCATTTCAGAGACACTAGAACTCTTTTTCATCACACTAATAGCTAGAGATGAGCTGATTGAGCAAGTGCTAGCTTTACAGTTCTGTGCCATGTGCCTTGTGGATTTCTCCTCTGGACCAGGAGGTATAATCCCAGACAGATTACTTCTGAGAATAGAAGCAGTGTTAGCTGGGGTGTCTATCTCTGTTTCTTGTACACTGTGGTGTTTAGAGGCAGGAGAAAGCCTCGCCTGGTGATTCTCCTTAAAGCCACCACCTAAACGTATCTCTTTAATCTCTCCATGATCCACGGATTGAATACCTTTGTTCTTTTCAATTGCTAGAGAATTTAACTCTGGCAAAACAGTCTCCCGTGGCGTGTCTGCAGCTATTACTTGAGAAAAAGAAATGCCATCCTGAGAAATGTCTCTGGGTTCTGCCTGAGAAACAGACAGCTTGGACGAGGCGATTCCTCTTCCAGAACACAACTCACCAGGGAGGCTACTCTGACCACCGTCCTCTGCTTTCAGTAGCCTCTCAGCAGTTTGGCTTTCCAAGGGAAGAGACTCAGACTTCTCTACAGTGCTCTTCCTTGCTTTAGCATTTGAGGACATTAACTCTGCCTTCTTAGGACGATGCGCCAAAACAGAAGTGTGCTCCTCAGAGATATGTCCATGCTCAAAGTTCAGCAGATCTACCTCGGCTACAAGAGTGCCAATGGTTTCAGGACCCAGTGGAAACGGGCATCTTTCACCATCAGGAAGAATTTCCTTGGGTTTGAGGATAAGAGATGCATGTCCAAGGTGTAGGGCAGGAGGAGTCTCCCTTTCTACAGCCTCAGGATGAGTCCCCACACCTTCTTCTCGACACTCATTAGGATGAGAGGAAATGCTGCCCTGTCCAGTTTTACTGAATGGAGGTCTCTCACTCTTCAAACCGGAGAAACCCAACTTGTCATGCCTGTCCACTCCAGAAACAGAGGTTGGAGGTGAGGCGCTGCCATCAGAAGTTTTACAGTCCAGGTTAAGAGGTGTCTCAGCACCAGGGAAGACTTTGGCTTGTTGAGGATTCTCTAAGGGAAAAGAAGATTCAGAAATGAGATTTCTGTTAAGTTCAAAATTCAGCTTGGGTGTTATTTCCCTTTCTGTGCGTGCTACGACCGCTGAGTCACTGACACATGTCAAAGAACCAGGGTCCTTGTGATTTTTTCCCACGTCAGGAGGAGTTTTGACATGTGGCTCCAGACCAAGCACTCTAGTTTCCGTTTCACACAGTGGCTCAGTATCTTTGGGTAAGGACTCAATTCTGTCTTCTGGGGCTCTTACAGGACTTAAAGTCACGGGCTCACCCCCTGGGGCACCTCCTGTTCCTTGCATGTTTTCTGAAACCACATTTCTCTCTGAGTCTCGGGCAGGTAACCTCTTCCCTTCATTTACAAGTTCTGCGTCTGTCACAGCATGTCCCTGGAGAGCATTAATGCTGGTGTGATTGACATTCCACCTGGATGGGTTGTCTGCAGCTGGCCTGTCCCAACACTTACTCTCTGGCAACCGTACATCTTCATGCATAATTGATTCATTTGGACTTGACAAATTTGTACTTTCCACTTTGGTAGCGGCACTCCCATCGGATGATTTACAACAAGAGGAATCAGAAACAGCAGGCTTCTGAGGCTCAACATGCTCCTCGCTCGGCACTGACATCCCATCACTCACGGTGGAGCTGTTTCCTCCCAGTGTGTTTTCTGTTGCAGTTTTCCTCTGAAATTCTGGACAAGGGACTTGGCTACTTCTACTTCCTATAAACAACGATGAACAAACCAAACTGCTCTCAGTCTGTGAGTCAGATTCCCCAACAACTGAGCTGGGCTTAGACACAGAAGAAGGGGAAGCCCAACTGTTCCCAGAGCCTCCCTGGCTATTTTCATTTAAAAAACCCTCAGATAAAGAGATATTCTGCAATTCTGGGTCGTTTTCCAGATGGCTCTCGATGTTATTTATTTGGCTAGAGACTCCTAATGGACCTCCAAGCGAATGTCCTTGTGTGGCTACATCTTTGCTGGCGGGCAACAGTGGGACCATCACAGTGTGTGCTGTGCTTCCAGGGCCAGCGTGGGCCTGTGTCCTTGAGTCAGTGCTTCCGTCTCCTCTGTCTGATTGATTCACAGTTCCCAACACAGTCTGTTGCTTCAAGTACTTCCTGATTTGTGCGGGTCCTCGATAGGTTGCATATGTTACTGAAGGCGTCTCTGGTTTACCAACAGTGTTTTTTCTATGGAAAAAAAAAAAAAAGACAGCATTGGTATCAGGCAATATAATTAGTAACAGTATTCCAGTAATTGTGAAATACATCCTTTAAGTAACATGTCTCATGTAATAAGTTTTGGAGTAAATTCTAAAAATTTTAGTTAACAGTTAACTGTTTCACTAAAAATAGTGAAGATCTGACAGGCAGCCTGTGATCACCAAGTCTGTGTTCATGTTTGAGTGCCTCAAAACTGTTCCTCTTTATCTCACTGCATAGTATTTCTAATTGTGAGTAACAGAAAGAATGTGGAATGGTAAAGCAAGACTTGGGTTCCTGTTCTAGCCCCCAAATAGCCTCCTCTAAGGGAGGACACCAACTGGACTTCAGGTTGGTGTCCTTAAGCTTATACATCACTGATTTCTCCAATCAGAATGTCCAATCTACTCCTTTAATTTTACATGTGAATTTAAAAGGCAACTTTTTGTGGATAAATTTGAGATGTTTTAAAGAAAGACACTGGTAAGATGTGTAATTCATAGTTAACACTAAATATACATTAACTCAATGACAGAGTTCTTAGCACTTTCCTCTCATATGAAGTATTTCAAATACTCAACTCCTAAGTACTAAATTGTCTGGGCAAAGCGGACATCATAATAGTGTTGTAGAAGGACAGGAGAAACAGCAGTAGCGGGAAGTTCCTGACGTTCTCACCACAACTTGCTGGGAAGAATCTACCTCTAAAAGCTTACATGTAAGCCCTGTATAAACATCATTCCTAGCCTCTTAATTTTACCATCAAAGGGAAAGTGACCTTAATCCTGAACTCTAAGAATTAAGCTTATAAATGACCTCCACCACAAACTAATTCCTCCACCAAGATGAACTTTTAGTCTCTGGTCTTTGAACACACAGATCACAATATTTACCGCATTGAGTTATAAGGAGCTAGGAAGTTCTTGCCCACTATTCTGTTAGAGGTCTGAGTGGACAAGGTGTGCCATCATAATCTGTATATTTCAATCCTTCACAAAAGAGCTAGACAATAGCGTCTATGTAAGGCCCTCTGTGGATTAATCCATGGCTAATAATCATTCTAAATGTTAGCAATCTACTTCACACTATCTTACTTATTTTTTATTTTATGTGTATGTATGTGTGCCGCATGAATGCATGTGCCTGTGGCCATCAGAGGATGGCATCAGATCCCCTGGAAGTAGAGTTACAGACTGTGAGACACCTGACCTGGGTGCTGGCCCTCTTCAAGAGCAGCAAATGCTCTCAACCATTTCTCCAGCCCCTAATGGCTCACTCTTTCTTAAGGTAAACACTAAAGTGTTTAAACCCTGAACACAAATTAAAATATAAGACCCTGAATATAAAGATAAATGGTGAAAATATTGGTTACACGTTTTATGTCACTTTTTCAGATAACACCTATCATAATCTAAAACATTATATAGAATCTATCTGGAAAGTAGAAAAATCTAGTTAGTATTCCAATGCCTTTTAAAATACAGTTCATCTTTACTGTTACAGCAATGTTAAGAAAGCTAGATTTATCTCAGTGATATAGCTAAGTGCCTCTCCTTCAGCATATAAAAACTTCAGCATACATCTTAAATTTTATGCCTCTTACATACATCTTAAATTTTAGCTGAACTAGTTTATTTCACCTCATATAAATTCTGGCTCCTAAAATCTTACCAAGCCATAAGCATAGACAAGAAAAAAATCTGTTCCATTCATTTATTTTACTGTTTATCATAAACTAAACTAGATGCAGATAGAAAATCAACAGTGACTTTAGCTACAGAATGAATTTCAGACTAGATCAAAGAGTTACTGAACAATCTCTGACTTTAAATAAAGCAGTCTTTGTAAGAAAATATTTAAGAAGACACAACAGGGGCTGGAGATATGGCTCAGTGATTAAAAGTACTTGTTGCTCTTGCAGGGGACCCTGGTTGAATTCCCAGCATCTACATGACAGCCCATAACCATCTTTATTCATTTCCAAGGAATCTCATACCCTCTTCTGACCTCTGCAGGCACCAGTCAGGCACGCAGTGCACAGACATACATACAGGCAAGCTATTTATACACAATAAAAGAAAAAAGAAAAACAGGTAAGAGTAGTCTTACTGAAAAATCCCATATCCCGTACCCGAGTATGTAAGTTATTCAGAAAATACAAGAACCTTTCAGAACAACATACTAAAATCCAGACGCCAGGATAGGTTTCTGTCATTTTCTTTCAAAATTATAATGCTGTATACTTAAAACCCATTATCAATAAACTACAACTTTTTTCTCCGAAAAATTCTGAAGAAGTGGTAACCCAAGAAATGTACGTGATGCCAATGAAACAGGAAATAATAGCTAAGAATCATGTATAGTGAATGTAGATACCCTTGGAACTGCTCTGTGTGAGTGAGATACTGAGGCATTTAATCTTGCTTAGTAATGACAAAGTTACTAGAAAAATGTCTTGTATGGTTCCAGAGTATTAAGAAGGGAAATATGTGCTGTACCTTTCTATTTGGGGGGTCTTTTTGCATAATTTCAACTACGATGCCTTTAATGCCTTAGTCTAAAATTCTAACCAGATAATCTTCTGCAGCACCCTGGATGGAAACACTACATATTTGTAACTCACGTGTATATTCATTAAATCAAGCAATTGCCATGTTTAAAGCACTGAACTTCAAAGTCGCAAGCCTAGCTTTACGCATTATAATTAGTTGTTTCAGTTCTGAGCAGCTATACTGCCATGAGAGATCATCCGGCCAGCACTGCCTACTTTCTACAAGGTTGTTTCAGAGGCTACATCTGAATCACCATATCCGAATAAAGATGAAAATATCAAAAGGTTCTCGTTTTCATTTTTAAATAAAACAGAACTGCTACGCATCTGTGACTTTGGAAGGTTTACCTTGAACAAGCTGAGCAGAGAAGAGAGAATTTCATGTACATAATTATGCATGTGATCTACACCTTACTATATCCAAAAATACACAATCCCCAAAATAACAGAATAAAGTAAAATAGTAAGAGATTACAAGTGCTGACAAAAACAGGCATAGACACGCAAGACACCATGTGACAGTTTACACAGTCTCTAAATGCTGTACTACAGTTTGGATATACTGGATACACCTGGTATTTCAGCCAAAAAGTGGATCATTTATTAGAGAAAATTCTATCACACTGTGCAAATAACAACTAGCCCTTTAGAAAATGTAAGACAAAGTTAGCACCAGTAAGGTATTTGCACTATCGCCTAAAGAAGAACGAAAAGGTCCAAGGACATGTAGAAAGTATATACGATCATATCACCTCAGATCTGGCAGCAGAGACTATTATGAGATACCTTTTCCAAGTCTTTCAATTAATGAGGTTTACCAGCTAGGCTTACAAGGCTAGGTCCAAAAACTTAGGGTTTCATTTTATTTAGTTTTTTTTTTTTTTTTTCAAGTAACTTTCAAACTTACTTGGGCATATCAGTGGTTTCCTGTTCACTGTCTTGTGTTGTATCCAAAGAAAAGGCATCAGAGAGTTCTGAGGAGTTGGACTCTTGTTGGTCCACAGGAAGGGCCTGAGTTCTCACAGTGCAGCTGGCCATCTCCTTCTCCATCTGGCTCCCTTCCTCAGGGGGGCCGCTGGGAGTCTGTGGGTCTTTCTCAGGTTTATCCTGGTCATCTTTGAAGGAAGACTGTTTAACTTCCCCAAGAGATGACTTTCCTGAGATATTGAATAAGTTCCCAAGAAACTGAAAAAAGCTTTCTTTTCCCTGTCGGTCATTGTCTGCTGTTTTGGCATCTGATGTGGAATTAGGAAAGTCATTTGGCTTTGGGGGATCTTCCACCATTGGGAGAATGGCTGGCTGCTCAGCATGGTTCCTTGTGTCCTCACCTTGGGGAATCTGAAAACAAAATAAGTAAACATCATCACTTATAAAATAACAGACTGACTAAGACAGCTCGCGCCTGGCAGAGGCAAGGGACACACACGTGACCCAAACCCTGGGCTGTTGTCTTCATGCTGTTTATAACCTACTCAGATCATAGTTGGTGCAGCTTAAACAAAGCTGTCTATTAACATGACAGAGGGAGACACTCCAACACCCCAAACACGAGTATCCAGTCTAGGTTTAAAAGAGGTGACAGAGAGGTTGTAACTAGGTGATACTTCTGGGAGGATGGAAACCCTCTGAAGGGAACATAAAAGTTGACTATGATAACATCTGTCTCTCTGTCTGTCTGTCGCTCTCTCTCTGTGTATGTGTGCATGTATAAGGCATTAACTTTTAAGGGGATTACTATAACTGGAAATTAATTAGAATGCAAAACTGAGTATTGTGAGAATAGACAGACATAAGAGTCAGAGCACGGCAAAACTTACATGTACTTAAATATGCCCCTGCCCATTATAAAGCTAGTGGGTATTACTTCAGACACTTAGTATATTAGACAAGGAAACCCACACTGCCCTTATCATTTCCATGATGTGTTCACCCATGACTATGCTGCTGTGTTATATAAGATTGTTCCCAACATGGTCAAGAAAGACAGTAACACGGAACATCAATTCCAAGTAAAGGCCCACTGAAATATAAGTCCTGACTGGGGATTACATACAAGTGAAGACATGCACTCGGCATTCTAAGGACGCTGAACATTTTCAGAGATGCATTTTACCTGCTCAAAATCCAGCTGTCAGTAAATCATATTCATATGCATATGAACTACTCACGCTAAGATCAAACTAGGAGAACAAAGAGCATGCTGGCATTTCACCTCACACTCCTCCGGGATTTCAAAAGGCCTTAAGCAAATGTACCAACTCACCTGCCTTCCAAACATGCTTACTCACATAGCTGCATACTTGAAAAAGGAATGCACACCCAAAATTGTCTGTCACTCACGAGGCTCAAGAGTCCTCGTAAAATAAGAACTCAAGTGTGAGTCAGGGAAGGATCAGAACATGAAGGTAAAACCACCTTAGAGCACTGTAGGCTCACGTGACAAAGTTTTGTAAGAGATGACAATCTTCAAGAAAGCAAAGCTATCATAATTACTTATGTCATTTGTTCACCTTAGTCCATGCTTTAATCCAGGTCTGAAACAGCTTAAAAGGACATTCCACTAACCATTTATCAAACATAGTATAAGGCAACAAGAATAATGTTAATAACATGACATGACGACGGGCAAAATAATTTAGAGTGAGTATTCTAAGTTGAGGTTAAATTTTATATTTATTTCTCTATTATTTTTCGGTAACAGCATTTTCTATTATTATATCAAGTTAGGACTTGAGATAACTCTACTGCTGGAATGCACGAGCCTTTTAGTCACTACAAGGCTCACCTCCTATGGTTTCATCTGTGATTTGATCCCACTTAATTTCCACTTCCTCCACCCATCCTGCTCAGCAGCAGAGCCCTGGCTGTTAAGTCAGCTCAGTGGAGCCATCACCTCAACTGTCTCATAATATGAATATGGCAGAAGAGATGCTAGTTTACTCCTTTTTTTGTCTTTTGAATATTTCATTTAATTTGTTTAATTTTTGGCCAGGCTATTTCTCCCTGGGTCAAAATGAGACAGCAATGTAATGTGAGTATGTGAGTTGCCCTTTGGTGTAACTAGCTTAAGTGAATGCCCCTCAAGGCTCCTCACATACGGCCTGCTGACTATTGTTAAAATGCTTGAGATCAAAAGTGCAAAGGAATCAATGCTTGCTTCTCTTCAATTTTAATTTTCAGCTTCTTAGACTGATGCAATGTTAAATTTAACAAAGGATTTTTTTTCAGTTTCTTTAAATGTGTCAGTTACTTAATTTTCCCCTCATAATCTTCTGAGAATTTTTTCTCAGTAATTAGAAGATTCTCAACAAGAAGAAAGTTTCTGAATTTAGAAACAAACGTGAACAAGCAAGAACATTCAACTACAACACCTACAGTAAAATCTGCATTTCTATAGTTAAAATTTCAAGCCTGATCTAAAGCAGCTGTTCTATGCCCTGGGCCTGGGAAACAATGCAAGTTAGGCCAACCACAGGCTCTCATTAGGTGGGGCCCACTTCCTTCTGCCAATAGGCCTGTTTACCATTGTGCTAAGGAGTCAGTAGGATAAAAGCACTCGGATTCGGGCAAACACTAACAAACACTAATTCCAGTTATGCACAAAGATACAGTTAGTCTGCATGTAAAATATAAATGCAGTGAGGAAAGCAAGTGCTTTGAGAATAATTTTATCTTTTTTTTACATAGTGGGTTGTGATATATGATCTTTATCTAAGTTCATCCATCTCCATATATTCTTTGCTACATGCATTATTTGTACTGGTTAAGATTCATTTAGCTATGGTCTTCAGGGAGTTGACAATTGAGCAAGATGCTGATCATATGTGTGAGGGGAGGGAGAGGTGTAGATGAGAGGGGAGAACAATGGAGAGCCTAATTAACTTGAGGTGGGATACAGACTGCATAAATAAAATAACATTTTAGCTTGCCAGATCCAAAGTATAACATGTGAACTGTGAATGATGTGTGCTAAGATACAGTTTTGGCAGATGACTAAAGGACAGAAGGAAAAAGGGACCAATGACAAAGCCCCAAGGTTGGGGTAAAACATTAAAATTCATGGAAAAAGAAAGAAATAAATCTGGAACATATACTGAGAACACCAAAGCCAGAACAAGTTGTTCCCTCCAAGATAATGGTCTCCAGACAAAGGACAAATTCCAAAAGCAGAAGGGAGTAAAGAATGCCAAGACCACTGCAGGACTGCAGCAAGAGGAGAGCTAGCCCCTAACAGATTGCCTGGGAACTCTGCATTTACTCTTCTTTCTGCCCTCACCTATTTATAACTTACCCCTCAGCTCCTTCAGAACTCTTCTACAGGTATTGCCAATACCCTCTAAATTAATTATCGAAGTCCTGGGTTACAAACTACCTCACTGTTTTCTCTGTCTTGATGCTTTTGTTCACCAGTAGATCTCTCTCAATCTCTCTCTCTCTCTCATACATACACACACATTACACACACATTTTCTTCTTTTAGGAAATAAAACTCATAAATGTAGAAAGCTCCATTTCATTCATGTTAGCATTTCTAAGTACAAGGAAACATTCCTGACATGTTTCATAAGAGGTGCTCAGATTTTTGTTTGTGGGAATACAAAGAATGAGTAGGGTATGAAAACCACTCAGTATATAAGAGAAACAATTCTCAGAAGTTCATGAGTCTGAGTCCATCCTAAACTCAAGGTATTATACTGTGAGTAAGCTACAAAGAAACAAGAAAAGTCAGAACATAGAAGGGAATCTTTGAGAGACTTTAATCCAGGAAGAATGACAAATGATATTTTAAGTTCCAAGACAGAATTGGCCTTTTGTTCCTATTGTACAAGGTAGCTTTGCACTTGTGGGAAACGGAAGATAGAAGGCTATAGGAGAAATGTACAAAGTGATGGGACAATGTGATCAATTCCTAATAGCTCCAATAAAGGGACAGTATTAGCCTTGGAGAGAAGGAGGAACATTCCTCTTCAGAGTAAAAGTCAGTGCTGAACAATTCTCTAGTAGGAATTTTGTAAGCACAAGTGGCTCTGATGTCAGGGAACAGGATGGGGGAGATAAACAAACAAACAAATAAACAAACAAACAAACACACCAAAAGAGATTGGTGGGAGTTGAGATTTGGACTCTCCAAACAATGACAACTTGGAAAAATGTTTCTGGAGAACACCACCCTAAATCAGCAACAGATTAAATCAGGGTGAGCAAAATAGCAGTTAGGACAAGGTAAAACGTTAGTCTTTTTTTTTTTTTTGAATTTTATTTTTTTCTTATCAGTTACATTTTATTAACTGTATCCCAGCCGTGTCCCGATCCCTCATTCCCTCCCAGTCCCTCCCTCCCTCATCTCCACTGTGCCCCTTTCCAAGACCACTGATAGGGGGACCTCCTCCCCATTGATCTGATCCTGTTTTATCAGGTATCTTCAGGACTGGCTGCAAAGCTCTCCTCCGTGGCCTAACAGGACTGCTCCTCCCTTGGTGGGTGGGGAGGCCAAAGAGTCAGTCATTGAGTTCCTGTTAGAAACAGTCCTTGTTCCCCTCACTATGGGAAACCAATTGGTTACTGAGCTACCACAGGCTACATCTGAGCAGAGGTTCTAGGTTATATCCATACATGGTCCTTGGTTGAATGTCAGTCTCAGAAAAGACCCTGTGCCCAGATATATTTGGTCCTTGTGGAACTCCTATCCTTTCCTCATCAGACTAACTCCCCTTCTTTCTTATGATTCCCTGTACTCTGCCAAAGGTTTGGTCATGAGTCTTTGCTTTGAAAACACTGCTAGTTAGAGTCTTTCAAATGCGCTCAGTAGACTCCTGTCATATGTTCAATGCACATCCCATCTGTCTTTCTAAACGAGGATTGATCATCTTACCCCATGTCCGCTCTCTTGATTATCTTTTTTAGGTGTACAGATTTCATTATGTTTATCACATCTTATAGGTCTATATAAGTGAGTATATACCGTGTTTGTCTTTCTCCTTCTGGGATATTTCACTCAGGATGATCTTTTCTAGATCCCACCATTTGCCTGCAAATTTCATGATTTCCTCCTTTTTGATTGCTGAGTAGTATTCCATTGTGTAAAAATACCACAATTTCTGTACCCATTCCTCCGTTGATGGACATCTGGGTTGTTTCCAGGTTCTGGCTATTACAAATAAAGCTGCTATAAACATGGTTGAGCAAATATCCCTTTTGTGTACTTGAGCAAACTTTGGGTATATACCTAGCAGTGGTATAGCTGGGTCTTGAGGAAGCACTATTCCTAATTGTCTTAGAAAGCGCCAGATAGATTTCCAGAGTGGTTGTACCAGTTTACATTCCCACCAGCAGTGGAG